GGCAACAATTCTAGTTCATTATTTAAATCGTCCCCGTCAATATCAAATATATTTTTAAATGTTAGCTTTTTTTATGCATCTCTAATTTACTCCAGCATTCAATGTTTTGGAAGAGCGAAAAACTGATATGTATTCCGTTAGCAAATCGAATTTTTCATTTAATTTCGAGATAGCAGTGTCCAGTAATAAAAAATAAAAACATACTTTAAATTTGTTGGTTGGGTCTAAAATGTACTCATCTGCAGCCTCGTAAACAAAATGTCTTTTTCGGGAACGTGAACGAGCAGTTTCCCTAAATTCTGTTTCGCATTTCAATTTTTCAGCAACTATATTTGCATCAGATAACAATTGGTCAAAAGCACTATCAGTGCGGTGTTGCTCCAAATTATCCTCTATCCTCTTCCTTCGGTGACTTGATCGAGTGCGGATGTGTCAGTGATTTTATTGTCATTAAGTGCTAAATTCCTTTATGATCTGGACGATAACGGCGCCCCCCTTGCCAAGAAAGAAAGCGACACAGCTATCCATCCTTTGCTCGCTCCGCTGCTATCGTCCGCGGACACTTCCAGCGACGCTAAAAAGAGGCAATATTGCATGATTTTAAGAAATCTAACAAATAAGTTGCCAACCTTGTCCGATAACATTAGTAACAGGTAAAAAACTTAATAAATGTTCTTGTATCTCAGCGCGTTTTGTCGATGGATTTAAATAAATTATCCTCACGATAACAATAAGTTGTTCTTGGTGTTAAATATCAGCTGTGCAATTTAGAATTACAGAGTAGTATTTACATATTTTAAAAAACTAATTATAGTAGTTTTAATTTTTTCAGCAATTACATTAATCAGTTCATTTTGAATGTTATGACCAATATAATGTGGCATGAGATGCTGAGCTCTTTGAATTCGAGCAATGTGTTCTGATAGTGTACTATCAAAATTAGATATACTCACCACTAACTTTAAAAAATTACCATTATTTGGGTCATACAACTTCTCAGTTGTGCCCCTAAATACTATATTTGGACCTGCCAAAATTTATTATATCAATTATGCTTTCCAAAACTGCCATCCACCTCTTTTTCTCGCTGACTATTTCAGTTTGATTAATCAAATCCACTATTTCAATAAGTCATTTTTTAGATCTAAATATTTTTTAAAAGAACATATATGCCCTGAGTTCTCTCGTGTCGTTCTATATTTCTCGACAAATGCCCCCAGTCTTTGTAACCAGTGGGGCCAAAAAATGCAGTGACATTAATATTTAAAAAAATCTACAGTGAAAACCAAATACAGAGTACATGTGGAATATACAAGCCAAACTCGGTGTACAATTTTGTTGTTTCGTAACTTTTTACTGTAATATGAATCTGAAAACGACCTCATGTTACTATCAGAAGGATAGGCTTTCTTTTTAATTTGAATTATATTCAATATACATAATTGTTATTTATGTAGTAATAAGAGTCAAGCGCTGAAAGCGTAATAAAAGTAAAACAATGATTATTATTTATGACTATTTTTTATATTTAATTTTGCACATACGTATTTATCATAACAAGTACCTATATGAAACTGTGTTATGACGTTAAGTTCCATGAAATATCTAAATATTCAGCGCTCGACAGGCGCCTCCGGGCGCTGCGCGCCATGTTACACCGCACCCCTTGAACACCCGAGAAAAGACGACCCTGAATGAGCTCATCAAAAAGATAATAACAAACTGCTTATTCGCGACTGTATTAATAGTCCGTAAGAACCAATACAGGAAACTAACGTACCATAACGCAAGTGTGTTAAGCTTAAACTTTCATAATAAATTCTGAATACTAATTTAATTATACAAAGACAAGATATACCACGTTTCGAACGGCCACAGTACCATCTATCAAAAGCAGATTAAGTAATGTATTTAACTGCGATTGTTTTATTATGTTTATTACGATTTCAAAGTTTGGTGCTACAATAGTTAATAACAACATAAATGGTAACGACGAAGTTATTTTAGTCCTGTGTCCTGTCCTGGTCACGTGATCGGTTAGATTTTTTTAACAGATAACACGGCTAAATGAATATTTTGGCGGCTTTAGGGGCTAAGTATAATATTCAATATATACCGATTTTCAAAAAGCTTTTGATAAGATTAATCATTTTCTGCTTTGTCACAAGCTGAAATTGCAATTTGACTTCCATGCCAACATGCTGAGGTGGCTCCAGCCATATCTGGAAGGAATATTTATCCTTATCAATGCTCTTGTTTTATGTGTACCACAAGGCTCACAATTTGGCCCTCTTTTCTTTTTTATTTTTATAAATGACTTAGCGTCCAAATGATTGATTCCTTGTATTTGTGCGCGGATGATTTAAATGCATTTTCAGCTGTAAATAACCACAACGATTGTCTATATCTTTAGCATGATTTATCTAATATCTTACTGGTGCTCTAAAAATAATACACATCTGGACCTAACAAAATGTCACTTAATGACTTTTGCCAAGAACAAATAGAAAATTATTTTTGACTACAAATTAGAGAACTCTTCGCTGGGGCGATTATCAGTGGTCAAGGATCTAAGAGTCATTATTGATAAGGGTTTCTCTTTTCGTGATTATTTTAACAAAATAGCGTCAAAATCTTTACAAATGATAGACTTTATCGTGAGAACCACAGTTCCCTTTAAAATCCCAAATATTTCTTCTATCATTACTATTCTCTGGTTAGAAACAATCTTGAATATGCATCTCTAATCTGATCTCCTCACTTTGAAATTCACTTCCAAAATATTGAAAGAGTACAGAGAAAGTTCATGAAAATCTTTTGGATGATTTTAATGTTTCAGCTTTAGATATCCGAAGAAAACAGCAAGAAGTTTTGAATTTGTATAAAATTGTAAACTCAAGGCTCTAATCCCCTAACTTACTAAAGCTTTTAAATTTCAACACTAAGTTGCTCTATATTAGATTATTTGAAACGGGTATTAATTAACCTGGTCGAAACGTCAGGAAATACAGGTAGATATTAAATTATTTATCCAACTCCAAATAATACAATCCTTTTTCTAGTTTTCTATTTTTTATTTAACACGTTTACGCGGTAAGTAAAATCATAATTCTCCATCTGGTGCGGTGGCGGGTCAAAATGCTGTTCTAATCATTAAATTAAATAACTTTCCTCAATAAACATGGGTCGAAATATAAAAAAAATATTTTTATGTACTAAATCAGTCAGATGGTCGACAATTTTGTATGGGAGACCTAATTTGTTTTTTTTTTCATATTTGACCCATGTTCCTTGGGAAAAGTTGTTTAGTTTCATGTGTAAAACACACCTTAAAATATTTGAACTTAATTTAAAATAACCTTATACAACGTGTAATTCCAAATGCGCAAAACCTCTCGCAAAACAGATGGGGCCGATCAATTTCTCATTTTGTATGAAAAACCAAATTTTTTTTACGAATTCCAAAAGTCAAAGGTATAGTTCCTAGTTCTGATTTTTGTATTTCAGCAATAGGTATGTGTGCATTTGCGCACATTGAATTATTTTGTTTTGGTCTAAAATTAAACGGGACAGTCCATTTTTCTTACTTATTATATCAAGTTTTGATTTAAACGTCCAATTACAAAAATTTAATTGTTTCATTTTCTGCATGGAGTTCTTATTATAATTTATGGTGTCTATTTCCAATTACAATATTGTAGCTAATACTTTTAATATGGAAAGTGAAATACTTTTAATATGGAAATATATAGAGTTCATAATGAGTTATGTTTATGAATATATTTATATTGATTATTTATCATTTTAACATTAAGGTAAGCATTTGTTATGGTTTGCAATACTAATATTTGTGTATTCTGATACTGTGCTAAAAATACAGTAATTAGCAAAAAAGTAGGTATTCTATCGATGGCACCTTATGTTATGAACAAAATCAGGTAGTCACTTTCATTCAATTGCCTGTGTAAAGTAGTATCAAGCACCGTATGATAACTTACATCCAACTTCACAAAAAGTACAAAACAACCACCGCCAATAGTTTTTTTTAATACTTTGAGAAGTGATTAACTTTTGACGATCTGGTTTTTATTATCTTATGTTTTCTAAATTACCACTAAGAGAGATATGTTTATTGTTGCAGGACCGTAGTAGAGTGTTCACATTATTCACTTGAAGTTGGTTTATTCTTGCTTTTTACGTAGTCAATAGAAAATGTTTGCTACTTCTCTTGACGCCTCTAAATGACTCTGTGTCTTTCAACTTGGAGCATATTTGTCTCGATTTATTCCATACTTGTAGTTGTGTTTGTTAAATCTTTGGTATTAATTCATTTTTTATTTCATAGAACTATTTTCTATTTTTAAGTTTTCAATCATTTGATTTGCAGATTTTAACTTAACATTAAAACCTTTAATGTGTAATTTTATGATGATGCGTTCGACAAACTCCACACTGTCGTATAGCAAATAGTGCTGCCGTCTATATCGTCATTTTTCAAATTCGAATTATAGAATCTTGATCGATCAATAGATTTCAATACTTGTATGTATTACATAAATATCTGAAGTTTTATCCATTATTAATTTAAATAAAAAATTTCTGTCTTTTCTTGCGATTGTTATATGAAACAAACGAAGAAGAGAAAAAAGCAAGTCAAAAATAAGATTCTTAGAATTGTTGCTATTAATCTGCGGGCCAATGATCATGAACTTGGGCATTTGCTAACAGTGCACTTGTGCATTTACAAATAGTTAACAGTTCTGTTTATCATTTCATTTTCTCTGGATGTTTTGATAAATGTTAAGTTTATCCGTTAATCCAGCATATCCTAAATATTATGAATAATTTAGTCCCGTAGACTAAAATATATAATAAAAATATAATGATGAGGGGATAATATTGGTCTACGACGTTAAAAAATGTGCTCTCTAGAAATAACCCAAACAGTTTTATCTTCATATTGTTGATATAAAAATAAATTATACAAGGAATGGTTTATAAAGAAATATTTATTTGATAAAAATGAGATCATGCTTAGATGGAAAGTATCCATGACATATATGACGTAACCCTCGCATAGGCAGACGGAAAACCAGCGCCACAAGCGACACCTGCACCAAATGACGTGACGCCAATCTGTGAAAATATCGCCATATTATTATACTAGCTGTTTATAAGAAAAATTAAAACAAATTACGAGCGCAAATACCTCCTGCACGCGTAGCATGACGAACTCGGGAACGTTTTGTCTACACTCAAATGTCACTTTTCTCGGGTGCACCCATACTATATCTCACTCTCGACCCGAGAAACTGACAAATGAGTGTAGACAAGGCGTTTCTCGAGTTTGTCATGCTACGTGTGCAGGACAGTATATTTTAATTTCAGTAATATTATGTCATACATGAGTAGCTCGGTGGCGTAGTGGATAAGCGCGATCTTTGTTGTTAAGCATGTTTCGCAAGGGTCAGTCACAGGGTGGCTGACCAAAAAAGTCCCTACTCCGGAAGGCACGTTAAGCCGTTGGTCCCGGCTGCATTTGCAGTCGTTAATACCCTCCAATCCGCATTGGGCTAGCGTGGCGGGTCATGACCCATCCCTCTTTAACCATTGTAAGGAAGGCCTGATCCCCCACAGTGGCGACGTAAATGGCTAAGGATCCTAATAGTGGTCAATATCGACTCCTTGAGCATTAGTGTATTGTATTTTCGATAATAAAATGCTGCTAAATAAAACAAAAACACTTGCAAAAGACCGGGGGTTTTCCTTTACCTGGGTGAGAGGATGCAAGATCTTCGTTCGCAAGAATCCGACATCGCCGGTTATTGCCATAAATTCGGAAACAGATTTAAGAAAGCTTTGAAAACTTATTTTAAACTGGAGTATTATATAAAAAGTCTAATAACTTACAAAAATATTTTTACATACTATAAATGTTACCAAGGGTTGACATGCGCTGGCTCACAAACTGGTTTTGCTTCAACGTCGTACAGGTTTGCAACTATCATTCGACTCATTTTTACTTGCTTACTGTTGCTTAGATGTTCATACCGGCTTGCCACTTGCTATTTATATTGTTGCGCTTATCGTTTTAACGCCTCTTTTATTTTTTTAACTGTTAAATATTGTACTTATCATAAATTAACGTTCTTTATGCACTTAAAAATTATTCTATACCTAAGTATTATTGAAAAAAATGATGCCGATTAATATTTATTATCAGAATGCACGTGGACTACGTACTAAAACTGCAACATTTTATAGAAACTTGTGTTTGTGTTCGTACGATGTTGTATGTATTACGGAATCGTGGTTAATAGATAGTATCCATAATTGTGAATTATTTGATGACCGTTATGTTGTTTGGAGACGTGACCGGAACTATAGTGAATTAAAACAGACTTTGTGGGGTGGTATTTTAATAGCTGTTCGTAGGGAATTGGTGTCAGAGTTGAGGAGTGAATGGCTTTCTGATGCGGAGGATTTGTGGATTACCATCACAATTCGCAATCGAAACCCAAAGTGCACCTTTAAAATGCATATATGCACAGTGTACATATGTACTCAAAATATGGGTTATTCAATGGAACAACAGTTATCGAATTTTTCGGATAATTTATTAAAAATAAATTTAGATAATCCCCTTGACAAGATTATCATTTTAGGTGATTTTAATATGCCTTTAGTTGAATGGCCATCTAGTGATAACGATGCGTCTTTAAATCCAAGTAATTTGCAGGGATCGCACCAAATACATTTTATTGATACCCTCAATTTATGTAATCTGATTCAATATAATTCCATACTTAATTATAGTCATAACCGCTTGCTAGACTTAGTCTTTTCGAATAATAATGTCACCGTAAATAGTTGCAATAGTCCTTTAGTGCAGGAAGACCTTCACCACCCCTCGCTGGTGGTGTCTGCGGATTTTGTCGAGTCACATAATATTAAATCACTTTCATATAGAAAATTTGCATATAATAATGGCGATTACCAGTTGATCTGCGCTAAACTTGATTCCATTGATTGGCAATTAGAGATTGGGAGGAGATCATTAGAGGGGGCTATTGAATTCTTATACGATACACTTTACAGCTTACGCAACACATATGTCACATCAAAAGTTGTTACTCCTTCTCGAAAATATCCGCAATGGTATAAATCGCCTTTAATAAAACTGTTAAAAGAGAAATATAAATATCATAGGAAATATAAAAAATATGGTAATAAATACGACCGTGACTCGTTTATTATATTAAGAGATCGGGCGCGAATCATGGAAAATAATATGTACACAGATTACATGAAAAACATAGAGAACTCCATAAGACAAAATCCGCGAGCCTTTTGGTCATTTGTCAAAAGTAAAAATCAATGTAATGCCTACCCGTCAATATTTTTATATGGTAATCGCGCATCAGATAAAGGTGAAGAGATATGCAATATGTTTGGAGAGTTTTTCTATTCTAATTTTCTTAGTAATACATCGGATAATACACCAATTCAAATTACGAACCAACAGCTCCCAACTTCAAGTACGGATATAGGTATAATTGAAGTATTGGAGCGTGAAGTATTTAAATTGTTGAAATCTTTAGAGCTCAATAAATCCGCAGGACCTGATCAAATTCCAGCAATTTTTATTATAAAATGTGCCCGTAGTCTTACTCTGCCATTATCTCTCATTTATCGTCGCTCACTCAACGAAGGCAACGTTCCTAATATTTGGAAATCTGTTTTTATTACACCTATTCATAAAAGTGGCCCCAGAAACAACATTGAAAATTACCGTCCCATCTCTAAATTGTGTCTTTTTGCTAAGATTTTCGAAAAGATGATATATTCTCAACTTTATTCTGCATTAAAGCATGATTTCACTCCACAGCAACATGGTTTCTTGAAAGGTCGCTCCACAACATCTAATCTTCTACTCTGCTCAGAGTATTTAACTAAAATTATGTCTGAACCTGCTCAAGTTGACGTAATATACACTGATATCCGCAAATGTTTTGATCGCATAGACCATTCGGTCCTTCTAATGAAGCTTCAAATGTCTGGTATTAGAGGTAATCTGTTTCGGTGGTTTTCATCATATGTTCAAAATAGGTGCCAGACAGTGGTTCTATGTGGATATTCCTCACTACCAATGACCATTCCTTCAGGTGTGCCACAGGGGTCTTTACTGGGGCCTCTGCTCTTTAATATATTTGTAAACGACATATCCTCCTGTTTTTGTTATTCGAAGGTACTCCTGTATGCAGATGATATGAAAATTCTACATCCAATAAAATGTTCAAATGACGCACTAAAGTTACAGAGCGATTTAAGAAATTTCTTTGAGTATTGTAATGTCAATAAATTGGAATTAAACTTATCGAAATGCTATGTTTCTTCATATACTCGTAAAACATCACCTATCACATATAACTATATGCTCAATAATATATCTCTAACAAGAATTAATAATATGAAAGATTTGGGAGTAACTTTCGATTCTAAATTACTATTTGATGAACATATAAATAACATAGTTAAAAAGGCTTCTAGGGCCCTTGGTTTTGTGTTACGGATATCGTCTCAATTTTCTAACATAAAAACTTTTAAAATTTTATATTGTGCATATGTACGCAGTCACCTTGAATACGCATCGCCAGTATGGAATCCTTGTTACGATGTTTACTCTTCGAGATTAGAAGGCATCCAGAGGAGGTTTTTACGGTTTCTACAGTTCAGAGCAAAAATTTACTTACCTGATTATTTAACAAGATGTCGAAAATTTCATTTACTCCCTCTGTACGAGCGTAGAGAAATAGTAGATCTAACTTATTTTTACAAAATAGCAAATGGCATCATTGACTGTCCTGATTTGTTGGAATTAATTGGTCTCCGTGTTAACACAGCTGCACTAAGAAAACCTAACCTTCTTCATGTTCCCTTAGTTCGTACCAATTATAGGCAAAACTCTTTTATTTTGAGAGCTAGCGCAATGTTCAACACTTTGATCAAGGCAAATGTTGACATCGATTTATTTAATACTTCATTAAACAAACTTAAAGGCCATTTAGTAGACAAATTTTTTGATAAGTGAATTGGTATTCTTTTTTTTTTTTTTCTATCTGGAGCTATAAATATACATAAAATAATGAAATATAAAGTAAAATAAGTAATGCTTACAATCTTAAATGTTATCCTACTATAATTTTAATTTTGTTGCTTTTAGCTGTCGTCTGTTTTTGCCTATTGTTCAATTACCTATAAGTGGAAACTTGTAATTGGCCTTCTTTATAGATATAATAAAAACTATGTATAGTATTACCTAGCTGTAAGTTTTCCTAAGATATTGAAAATAAAATAAAATAAAAATAAAAAATAAAAATAAAATATGTTACCGGCAATCTCTATAATTTAGATATTGTATACAGTACCTAAAACCTGTAATCTATGAAATATTATTTATATTATATTTTCCCCAGATATAGATAATCATACAATAAAATTTAAATCCACTAAGTCGATATTATTACTAGCCATGATTTATGTGATTTGAAAACAAATAACCTTAAAATTAAAGACAATTTAGCGATTCTTACTTTATTGTATTAGGCTGGTACTTTATTCAAATTATCTCTAACTAAATATAAAGTACAGGTATATCAATCACTAAAGGGGAATTAAACCTTATTATACATTTTTTTTCTTGTTAGAAAATCATATGGTATTTTATATATTTTAGTACTTTTGTAGCTACATTATGTTCCAATTCACGCAGCGAAAGAAGATATTTATACAATTGGAGTAATTATTTTTTCGGCGATTGATAACCGATAAGAAATATGCGATGCCCGTTTATTATTTGGGTTTTTTTTTTATGTTTATAGTTAGTTTCGGTTGGTAAAAGTGGTGTTGTTATACAGAAAAAGTATAAAATATTTTTTATGAAAGAAATGATACTGTAGACCTTAAACGAGAAAACTGTTTAATATATTCAGCAAGGGAACGTGAACGAGTTATATCTTAGTAATCAGTTCGTGTTCTCGCGACTTTCTGTTTCTGCATTAAATTCACATCATCACCAGCCCTTTTACGTCCCCACTGCAGGGGCTCAGGCCTTCCTTATGGATGGTTAAGGAGGATGGGCCATGACCCTCCACGCCGGCCCAATGCGGATTGGAGGGTATTAACGACTGCAAATGCAGCCGGGACCAACGGCTTAACGTGCCTTCCGAAGCACGGAGTAGCTCGAGATAATAATTTTTTGGTCACCCATCCCGTGACCGACCCATGCGAAAGTTGCTTAACGACAACGATCGCGGGCCGCGGTCCACTACGCCACCGAGCTACTCCATATAATAAATAAATCCACATATTTCCTTTCTATCTAAAACATGTTACTAGGAGTATTTATTAATATAATTAAATATTAAATTATAATGAAAATCAGAATTAATTAAATTGATTTATCATATTAAATATTGATGAATTAACGAACGGTGTGGTGCAATATAACACTCAATCATTTTTTTATCTATTTCGTTTGTATTTTGGTAAATTGAAATTATAATTCCTTACATTAATCCCCTACAAATCCATACTATAAAGTTATATTTACGGAATGCGTACCTCTCAAATAAGAAGAATTAGTGATGTTATATAGTAAACGTACCAAAATCCTGCCGTTTGAGCTATTCACGACGAGAGGTCCTCCAGAATCACCAGTGCATATGTTCATACCTCCAGCACCACTCGTGCAGATGTTAGTGTCTCTTACGAAAGGTCCGAAGGTGGAAAAACATTGAAGATTTGTAATAACGGGAACATTCACAGAGTGAAGGATTTCATTGGTCGAAATGTTCGGTCCTGAATAAATAATATTAATACTAATTACACAATGTAATTTATACAACACCAGCAACTATTTATCATGATAAATAACAACGCTTGTTATTATATTTATTCTTTTCTTTTTGTTTTTATACAAAAATAGATTTAAATAAATTTATCTACCGCATTTACGTTAGTAAGTAATAATAATAATTATTCTTTATTCATGCCAAAATAATACGAAATAAAACATACATTTGAACAGATGGTATGCAGGTCTTAAGGTAATTAGTTATATAAGGCAATTATTATAGACGGTATAAATCACATTCAATAAAGTTCCACAAAATGTAATTGACCTACCCATAAATAAATTTCAAATTCATGTAAAGAATATACTTATGAGTAAAGGCTATTATAAAGTTGATGATTACTTTAAGGATCGCAATGCATGGAATTAATAGCCTTCGCTTTGTTCTATAAAGACTAATTATATGTTCAACTTATGTCCTACAGACTTTGAAAGTTGTATTTACTATTGTGATAAATTGATAATACATATTATTTTGGTAATGACATGATTTATGTAAATGTCATTACTTATGATAAAAAGCTGATAAGTTTCTTTCGCTTGTTCTTCTTGTCAGCTAAAAGACGTCCTGAACAAGTGGTAGGGGAAAAAAGTCTTTTTTGGACGATTCAAAAGTGCTTGTAACAGCCTACTTGAATAAAGATATTTTCATTTCATTTCATTTCACAACTGACCCTAATAGATTATACAAATAATCTGTATTTAGGGATTCAGTTCCTTTCCCTATATTCACTTTAGTATGAGCACCAGATTGCACTAAGTTACGATAAATGTAAGGTTACTTATAATAATTACTGATAGTTACAAATTTAACTATTAACCAACATTGTTCACTCAAAATCAGGTATTGTGTGTGTGTGTGTGTGTGTGTGTGTGTGCTGTATGTGTGTGTTTGTGCATGGATGTGTTTACGTCAATTGCTTTTATTATTTTAGTAATCAGCGACCACTTTTAAGGTAACTCTTTTAGTTTCGCCATGTGCGTTTTTCCGTCCACGATTTAGCTCAAAAACTATTACTATCAGAAAGTTTTACACACGTTTTAAAAAAAAAAGTATACACGTTGATTACGCCAAAAAAAGTGGTAATGTAAAATTTCATTTAAAAAAATGGGTACCTCAGCACATGTATAGTGAGGATGACATTTTTTAATAAGAAAGGAAAGGTTTTGTGAAACCTATATGGAAAGAGGATGGTTTTCGGTTAGATACGCAATATTAAATAAATTAAAAGATAAGCATTTAAGTTGGCTTTACAAGTTTACGAGTAATAATGGATCAATTGTATTTAACTAGCAAAATTTCGAACTCCATAGGAAATAATAAACGCAATTTTTACCCTTTGTAGAATATGGCAGCATGATTAAGTTTAGTGTTTTATTTGTAAAGAGGGAAGATGTAGTATATGGCTGTATAAGAAGATGCCTTTGTGTACCTATAAGTTTTATGTAGAAAGAAAAGATGGTTCTCTCTCATGTAATGGCTCATTTTAAAATAAAGTGCTCCTTAAATGTTTATACACCCTTAGTTCGCGAGTCAGACTTCCTTTTTATTTTTCTTATTCTTTCTTACTAAACGGTGTATGTGTCTGTTAATAAATCCTTCTGTCTTAGTCAGTCCTGATCGGTCCATCTAGTTGGTGAACGACCGCGTGATCTTTTACCTTCTTGGGTTGTCACCACTTAGAATGTTACCAGGGACCACCAGTGGTCCGCAAACTATCAGTTAAAAATAACTGCTCTAAGTCATCCCTAAGATGGAACGGAGATGTATATGAAGCATGTAAATATTAGAATGATTGTTAAATACAGATTTGGTACCATGTACTTTATATGTATATTGTGTTTCAGATATTAGGTGGTATATGGTAGTAGAACAGTATTTAACAATCAATCTACTTTAATGACAATAAAAGTTTAAAATACTCGTAACGTATTATCTAATCAACAAATTTTGATATACGAGACAGGTCACATTGAATATAGTCTTATCTAGTCTTCTTCTACTATCAATTATGAAATAAAATTTAGAATAAAACGAAGATTCATGAAATTTTCAAATGTTATTCAAGTCAGTAATTGCTTAGTTGTGATTTTTATTAGATAAAGAAGTAAATATATAAGTTGACTTACCATCACTGATGCGACCAAAACCAGACGCAATACCGATTTGACCGACGAAATTGTTATTTAAGTCAGCACCACTCGGTAAAGCAATAGGTTGGATAACATCTATAAAAAAAAAACATAAAAAGACTTACAGTCAATAACCTATAGGAAAATTATAAAACATATATGGATTCTTAACTACAAAGTCCCTTTATCATCTACGTTTAAACAGATAACAAATTAAATGCTCACTTGTATATGTAACAGGGGGTATGCGAACCATGCAAATATCGTTTTCGATAGAAATTGGGTTCCACTGTGGATGTTCGACTATGTCATTGGTAGGGATGCGGACACCGCCTGAGAACAAGTTACTGGAACCAAGGACTATAGTAAAGTACAAGGCTGTGAAACTGGAATCGGAATTGCAGTGAGCAGCAGTAACGATACGAGTAGGAGATATCAGGGAGCCGCCACACATTGAGGTCCTGTCTATGATGTGGATGATGATGCCAGCCTAAAAGTAAAAAAATGGCAATAATAATACGTAAACTATCTTATATATATATGTAAATTATTAGAAAATAACAATAAACCGGTCAAGTGCGACTAGTATTATCCATTTTTTTCATATAATTTATTGCATAATAATGATTACCTGATATGGCACTGCAGAAATATCAGTAACTGTTCCGCCAACGATTCTTTGGACATCCTGACCAGCTTTGGCTGCTTCCTCTTCGAGCTTCCTTCTTCTAGTGGCTTCTGGTATACCAATCCTCGTATGGTAATTAAACGCAGTGAGATCCTCACTGGAGTGTATCTCTGCATATGAGGCTACAATGGCTAGGACCAAAATAACGATTCCAAATAAGAACTTCATGTTTACGGCTATACGAATAATAATCATTTAATTTTTGTACGTTTATATAATAACATATTTGATCACCAATCTTATCTCGTATGGTTATTGCTATCAAAAAACGGAAAATATCAAAACGATATTAAAGATAATACTATAGCCAATATTTTTTATATAAACTCATAATATACACTTAGTGTAAAATTTAACTTTATATTACTTAAACTCAACTTGAAAAATGCTTAATAAATCCACTGTGTCCCTGGCAGATGGGACTGGAACCCATGACCTTTAACTACTCTACTGCGACTACTCTAACCACTAACCTAACAATACTGACAAATTTTTCAAGCACTTGTTGCGTATTTAACTTTAAACTTACTCACAGCCACAGGCCTACTTGCTGGCCTTACGACTATGGTTTTACAACTATGATTGCTTAATGCAGTGTCGTCAACTCATTGCAGCTTGACGCCGATGTTGATACACGTCAATTAGGTATCATAGTTGCATTAGCAGTTCACGTACGTAATTTTTCCAATCCGAGAGTAGCCACTTTTGCTTTACTTTCAGTCACTGGGTCGATTCTCACTTGTATTATGCTTCTAATATTTTCTGGATATTCGTCAAAATGCTCCTTATAATTTGTTGTTGGGGGATTTACAATGAGTTTCTTAACGCCATATTTCGTAATGGCAACTTATAAAGTTTACTATAGGAACAATAATGTCCATGAATCTTTCTTATGGTTTATACTGTTTCCTATGCCTTTTCTATTCATGGGAGTGGTTTCAATTAGTTTTTCTAACAGTGTGTGTCTTGTAAATAAATTGTATCCATGTGGTGCGGCTTGTATATACTTGCAATGTTGTTTGTCGATTTTATCTGTTATAATTTTATAAACAAAATAACACATGTAAATGTTACTTTTTAGGGCTCCGTGCCTCAAAAGACAAAAGCTCTTTAAGCACTACTCATATGTGTATGGATATATTAGTTAGGGCTTATTTATTCCAAAAAACTTAATCTAAATTATGACCCAAAGACAAATAACCATCTTCAAAAGTGGTCTCCGTAATTGATAGTTTTTTTCTTCTGTCACAAAATAAAACAAATTAAGGCTTAAAAACGACTAGTAAAAAATATTTACTAGTCAACTGCCGCTCTGTGGGAATCAATTCATTGACTCCCACAGAGGGAGTGAATTTCATTTGATTGCCTCACTCTTAATTTATTTATCTTAGGAAAACCTACTGTTAACAAACACAAATGATAATGAAATTAAGAAGAATATAGCATTAACACGTACGGTTTGTAAAGTCTTGTAGTATTACTTACTGTAAATTTTTTTACTGATTTCTTGCCAAAGATGGACTATAGTATTTAATAAGTGAAAATTAATGGTAGAGTATGGTATTGCTAACAAACACAAATGATAATGAAATTAAGAAGAAGATAGCATTAACACGTACAGTTTGTAGAGTTTTGTAGTATTACTAACTGTAAAATTAATAACTGGTTTCTTGCCAAAGATGGACTATAGTATTTAATAAGTGAAAATTAATGGTAGTCTATGGTATTGAAGAGGTTGTTGTTATTATTATAAGCATGCTTGAAAAACGTGCGTTTTACCTGTTGCGTGCACTAAGGGAAGAGATTCATGTTACGTTTACAGTAAATACATACAAGACTGGGCTTTCCAACAAATGAACTTCTCCACTCTGTAAGAGTTCCCGTAATTACAAATGCTCAATGTTTTTTACTCTACGGAGCTATCATAAGAGACACCAGTATCTGCACAAGCGTTGTTGGTGGTATGAACATATGCCAAGGTAATTCTGGTTGACCTCTTGTCGTAAACTGTTCAAACGGAAGGACTGTGATACGTGTTATTTATGGCATTTCTAACATCAAATTGGCTAACTGGTAATGCAATATTTTTCTTTGTTTTTGTACCAAATAGGAAGTGTTTTCATAAGCGTATTGCAAATTAAAAAACTCAGTTTTTAATTTATTTTATTTTTGCCTTAACATGACATATTAATTTTTACTGTTTTTTCGACTGAAGTGTTTTTAAATATAAATATATTGCTTTTTTAAGGTTTATTTTAATTATAAATACAAATTAGAATGGAGGAATAACTATAACGTTGATTTATATTAATATCATACATAGTAAATTTTATACCAATGAAAGTTGTTGCCAAGATTTCGGGCGAAATATTTTTGTTACCGTCCATGAGACTAATTTTTAAATACGTATTTAAAATAATAAATATGTTATCATATTTCCAAAATGTTTTTTAGTATTTTAGTACCTATGAATATATGTAAATACATCATTACTTTCTTCATTTGTCTTATAAAAGTGACATAGTCGAGAATTAGATTTTCTGAAATACTTTTTTTTATATTTTTGCCACTATATTAGAATCTTTAATAGTAATATATCTAAGTTTCATGGCGAAATTAAAAAAAAAAAACTTCAAATAGTCAGGAGGATAGATCGGAAACCCTAAACGTAATTTACATCATTATTCAAAAGAATTAGCTGTGCTGAAATGGCAGTTAATTTAGCAAAAATAACCAATAGCTATTAGAGAGGGAAAGTTTTGGAAAGAATACCGCGTACCGGCCGACGCTCAGCCCCCAACCAGATGGACCGCCAATATAATAAAGTTCGCGGTCGTAGGAAGCTTTTGGATACGTGCAGCGACCGATCGTCGGTCGAAGATATCCATGGAGAAAGCATAATGCTCAGCTGTGAGGTTCATAATGGCTGATATGATGCTTATATCAACAGAACGCCTAACTCTCTAGCCTTGATTATATAGCTATAAAAGTGTTTTATGTTTTTTTATCAATGAATCTTTTGATATTCTTTTAAAAATCATGTTTTATTATTATTATATTCAAATTGTTCATTGAGTTTTTAAAATTAATTTATGTTAACAATTTAACGAAAATAAATTAAATCTATTTATCTAAGCTAAGTCTTAACTACACCAAATAAAAAATATCTCCCAACGGGTAAGGTACCCAGAAGACTGCGAGCGTTTCCGTTTCGTTCTTTGAATGGCCAAACTAATTCTTTGGACGAGGTACAAACCAGCCTTCTGACCACCAGACCTGTCAAAAAGTTCTTTTTTAACTCTTGATAAAGAAGCTGGGTTCCGGGACCCTACGGACCCATAGTTTTGACCCCAAATGGCTGAAAAATGTAGGTATTACTTATACCTGAATATTTTTGCCGTTTGAGGCTTTCTGCAGCGGCGGCGGCTACACCCGCCTCGAGACATGTTCGTGGAAGATGAGTTGGCGCCAAAGTATCAATGCAGGTGGTAATCCTATACTAGGGATCGACCCATCCTCCAAGGTACCAAAGACATCCCATCAGGTCTCTTACCGTCGTCGCGAGTCAGTCCGTTCGGTTCTAAAATGCCTGGCACTGACGCCGTAGAAAGAGCTCGACGGATGATATCATTAATACTTGCATGGCGAGAGATACGACCATCATTATTATTTATATAAAGCAACTAAAAGCGTTTATTTAATATGTAAACAATTAAACAAAGTTATTGCATAAAAATATTGACATTCATTAATAGAATTAATAGAACGTACTTATAGCTTTGGCTAGAGTTATAGCGAGATCGTTATTCCACAAATACTATTATGAATTTGAGATTCACTAAAACTAAGAATAATAATTTGTCTGTTATATGCACATATACACACACACACACACACAAACATGCACACGCACGCGCACACGCGCGCGCACACACACACACTATTATTATAATTTCATGAAATAAATGAATAATTCTAATTCATGCATGATTTTTATACAACATTTATTACGAGTTGTTTTTCAATAGTCTTAGTAGGTACTTGTTTCCACGAAATGTTACTGTCGTGTATGAAGCATTAGAAAGTGATGATAAATTCTTCACTATTATAACGGTGATAGACACTTTTTCAGGGTTTTGTTTAGAAAACATGACATTTACTAAAGTACCTACAACTTTGGTTTCTTTAAATTTTCATTGAAAGCTTAATTTTAAATATATTTTTATACTAAACGTATCAAGTTTTTCACCATTTAAGCCAGCCGGTTTTATCGAGAATCAATAACTTTTATTTACTATTTTCTTTTTACGAAATGCTGATACCTACAGCTCTAAAGAAACACATTATTTTATAATTTAGGATGCAAAAGAGGTAAAACCTGACACTGTATCTGATGCACAGATAATTTTCAAGGATATATTTATATATATATATATTTCAAAGGGGGAGGCCTATGTTCAGCAGTGAACGTCTTCCGGCTGATGATGATGATGATATGATTTTGACATAATTATAAGAAATATTCAAATTTTCCCGAATTATCGTTCGAGGACATTAGAATAGGCCCTCAGGTTTCGTGTTAATTCTTATAAGTAGTATTAACAAAATCCGGCTGTCATTCATCAGTATTTTATAAATAATAAGTAAATAATCTTATCAAGGTAATTCCAAAAAACAACAATTAATCGATAACATGTAAAAACCCAAGTTTCATATTGTGTATCTCCGAAACAAATTTATTTATAACTGAATGAATGAATATGAATAAGTTCTTTATTGTACACCATAAATTATAGAAAAATTTAGTTGTACAATCGGCGGCCTTATCGCTAGCCCGTAAGATGCCCACTACTGAGCATAGGCAACCTCCATAGATCTCCACAACGATCGGTCCTGCGCTGCCCGCATCCAGTGGCTTTCGGCAACCATTATAAGATCGTCTTTGGGATGCACTATTGAGTTCTTCAAGCACGGTGTTAAGGTCTTCCAAGGTCTCAACCATTAGAACTATATCATCGGTTAAGCAAAGACGTGTAAGATACTTGCCATTAATTCCAATCCAGAAGCTTAAAAATATCCTCCAATGCAGCGGTGAATAACCTTGGAGAGATATCGTCTCCCTGCCTTACGCCTCGCTGCAATTGGATAGGATTAGAGTTCTGGTTTTGTAATCGGACTGACATAGTAACATTCTTTTACAGACACATTAGTACCTCGATGTACCTATAGTCCACTTGGCACCTTTGGAAAGACTGCATCACCGCCCATGTCTCGATTGAATCAAAGGCTTTCTCGTAACGATGCATTTTAATTAGTTTTCAAAGTTGATAAGAAAGTAGTGATATGTGGTAATTTCAATATAGATATTTTAATAAAATGTGCTAATTCGAGTAGATTTTTGAACTTGGGATGCTATGCTGGAGTACCTCCTCGTGTGCCAAAGTTTCCGTAGTTGATCTACCGCCTGCGGGTATTGGGGATCCACTACGGTTACAGGCCGGTGTTACCCCGGGTATAGGAAAGCATGAATTCGGTGTTTACTGACCATTGGTCCCTATGTCTAAAATTCCAGCGGAGGGGCTCAGCTGCTGGATTCTGATTTTTATATTCCGATGATAATGACTGAACGGTGAGTCGTCGTCTCGGAGTTTTGTGTTCTGAGAATGACGTATCAAATGGGAGTTATCTCGGAGTTTTATGTGCCGATAATGACTTTTCAGTGGGAGTGGACTTGGTTGTGGTCTCTTGGTCTGGTTGGCAATGTCAGAGGGGCTTGACGGTAACCGGACCTGGTGAGACTGTGACTGAGTGAGTGAGGGGCAGTGAAACCAGTGATGGAGCCCGCTAGCGTCCTTTTCAGGGCGTTAGTTGGCTGATGCTAACGGAGCTGCAACGGTGGGAGATATCGGAGTTTTGTGTTCCGACTTATTAATGGGAGTGGACTCAGTCGTTCCGTTCCGTTCCGTAAATAGCCCTGACTGCTCTTTTTTGTAAAATAAATACATTCTATATCTGCTGCCATACCCCACATCAGAATACCATATGAAATAACGCTATGGAAATAACTAAAGTATGCTGTATCTACATCTGTGAGTTGCCTAATTTTTTTTATTGCAAAGACATCTGACCTTAGTTTTCCTGCCAAAAAAGAAATATTAGGATGCCATTGCAATTTAGAATAAAGCGTTACACGAGAGATTATTTAAAGTAAACCAGGTCTTAATCTGTGAGAGAGCATTGTTTACATCATCAAAATTATCTTTACATCAATATCAATATTAAATATTAAAGAAGTATCATCTGCAAACAATACCATATCGCATAAAGTTTCGACAAAGAATGGCAAATCATTTATGTATGTTAAAAACAGAAAGGGACCCAGAATAGATTCTTGGGGAAAAGAATATACGTTTATTTTAATTTATTCTATTTTTAGCTTAAATTATTTATTACATTCGAGTCATTACTTAAACTCGACTATAGATTAGAGTTTAAGAATCTCAAAATAATTGAGGGCTAAAAATTTACCATTTTATTTTTTTACAGAATTAGAAACGTACTAAGATAAGATAATAGCAAAACTAAGTGTGAAAACCAGAATAAGTCCCCAGATATTTGACCATCAATCATTGAACGTGTAAAGTACAATTAAATAATTAATTAACAGATATAATGTGATAAAAGAAGTGATAATCTGTAATCTAGCGCGAGTAAAAAACCAACAAACTATATGATAACAACAAAAAATATGCCTAATATATTTAAAATCAAAAGTTTAATGTATATCTTCTAAAGCAGGGTTCCTTAAACATTTGGCTCCCTTAACTAATTAATAAAATACTCCCAAATAAAATAATAGAATTAGTTGTTACAGAAAATAAGTTATTTTTTTGATAAAAAGTAAGAAATGGCTTGTTTGTTGTTATAATTAAGTAAATTATTTTTCTTACTGTCCAGCCCAAATTTGGATGCCTTAAAGATTGCTTTTTAGCGATGTAGCCACCGATTATACTGTAAAAAAGTTATTGTTAAAATTGTTATGTTATTTAATGGAGTAGAATAATAATTAATTTTACAATCATTTTTTATTCTATTCTTTTCATTGGTTCATTCTGATCTAGGAGTCATTTTGGAAAATTTTATTTTATCGTGAAGTTATTATGCCACAATTACGTAAATCTTGAGGCGAACCCCTAGAGGTTAAAGTGCCCGGGGATGGTTGTCCCGCCGAATACACCTGGGTTTCCGGGTGCCACTCTTAAATGAAAGTGTTCCAGAGTGACTTCAGTGTTTTTAGTGGGTAGGCACCCGCCCTTACTAGGGGAGTGTCCCACACACCTTTTTACATTTACATAGTGCGTGACGCGTTATCCCTAGCACAAAAAAAGGGTTAGCGTGCCACACTTTGAGAAACCCTGATCTAACAGCAAATAATTCATTTCCTATGATAGTGGCGCCAATTGAGGCGAATTTTAATTGAAACTCCGAGTGCTAAAAATCACCTAAATATGTTTCAATGACATTCTTATGGTTTAATGACCACTACATCGAACTGTAATTGAAACGAATTTACATAGTTTTCCAATACTCAGGATTTCAAAAATTCCTAGAGCGTATTAACGTAAAATTCGGGAGACTTGACCAAGACATTACCAAGTAAAATTCGCGCTCTCATATTGACTGTCATGTTGTTTTCTTGAGGCATCAATTTTAAGCAGATTTAGGCCTTAAAAAGATTTTATAGGCATAAAGCCGGTTTTAACATACAGCTCTACCAGGTACATAGTGTTTCAGCTTTCAAACGATAAAATGTAGCTCTTATTCCAAATCAACCACCATAAAATTTTATTGAATATAGCAGAAAAGTCTTTATATTTGAACGGAACCATCTATGATGTCGCTCTTGGACGACATTTGCGATAGTGATTATTATGTAAGATAAGATTACAATTAGAAATTTGTAAGTATATATATGAAGTACAATCTACATTATTATTCGTAAAGTTGTCAATATGAAGTTGTTATTTGGAATCTTTGTCTTGGTTCTAGCCGTTGTAGCCTCATATGCGGAGGTAAACTCCGTTGAGGAACTCACTGCGTTTAATTACCATACGAGGATTGGTATACCAGAAGCCACTAGAAGAAAGCAGCTCGAAGAGGAAGCAGCCAAAACCGGTCAGGATGTTCAGAGAATTGTTGGAGGACAAATTACTGCTATTTCTGCAGTCCCATATCAGGTAAGATTTAATGTTTAGTAAAAGGTTTTTTTTTAATGGACCATGATGTATTTAATATTATTATAAATTAACACTAATATTCTTCCATACTCTACTCAAACATTTCCATATTTGTTATTTCCAGTCTTTAGCTTTTGTATGTACGATATATTATTTTGATGTTTATTCTTAACATTAATTAATTTTATGTACTCATCTCATTTTATACTTTCAGGTTGGCATCCTCATCCACGTCACAGCCTCACTGACGTCTATGTGTGGTGGCTCTCTAATTTCTCCCACTCGCATCATCAGTGCTGCTCACTGCCAAAACGATGGCAACTTTAATGCAATAGCCTTTACTGCAATCCTTGGTTCCGCCAACTTCTTCTCAGGCGGAGTTCGCATTTGGACCAATGACATTGTGAACCATCCACAATGGAACCCAGCTACTTTAGACAACGATATTACAGTTGTTCGCATATCTCCAGTTACATATACAAGTAAGTATTTCGCTAAATATATTTTTGTATAAAAGTAGTAATCATCATTTATTTATTATTTACAACTTTCGATATCAACAAAAATTGGTTATAAAATTACTTATTCAGCTTTCTTTTGTAGATGTCATTCAACCTATTGCTTTACCGATTGGCGCTGAAGTAAACAACTTATTCACCGGTCAAATTGCTCTAGCATCTGGTTTTGGTCGTATTGCAGATGGTAAGTAAGAATACAAAAACAAAAGAGATAATACAATTGACACATGACTGTCTGACCGTTTTAATTAGTATTACGAAAATTATGCAGTCGAGAGAGTAATACATTTGTCATTCGTATGCAAAAAAAAATATGGAAAAAATGTAAATTGCTAAAATTATGTTATAAATAACAAAAACAATTAAAAACATACGAACTTCTGAATGATTTTGCTGCTGTCTGCGGTCGTTAATACCCTCATGGACCATCGTTCTTCACCATCCATAAGGAAGGACTGACCCCATGCAGTGGGAACGACACGGGGCTGATGATGCTGCTATCTGAAATCTATACTTGACATCGTTTGGTAAATTTAATCTGCGCATAAAATTATTTGAGATATTGGTTAAATCATTAATTTTGAATGAAGTTTATCTTTAAAAGAAATTCAATCTAACAGACATTTTGTAACCGCTGATCTATATTATTTCACTTTAAGCTCAAAAAAAAATTTAAACAATAAGAAATTATAACTTTAGAGCAGAATAATACCCTGATTCTATTTTATAAAAAATAGCCCGGAATGCGGACTCTCGTAAAGAAAGTAAGGAATTTATATTTAAAAAAATTAAACACATCAGCGCATCTACAGTACAAAAGGACAAATTTTACAGTTGATTTTGAACTTAACCACCGAATCCTAAAGCTGAGGCCTAATCTATTGTACAAGCTAATCTGACCCCTCGCTCTTGATGTTACTCTTATTGCGAACTATTAGATTTTCTATATTTGATTCTTCTATCTAGCGTATAATTATTTCAGGTAATGTTGCACAGAATCAACTCCTCCACTCTGTGAGTCTTCCCATTATCTCAAATTTCCAATGTTCTCTCACCTTCGGAGGCTTCATAAGAAACACAAATATTTGCACAAGCGGAGCTGGTGGTATGGGCACATGCCAAGGTGATTCTGGTGGACCTCTCGTCGTAACTAGTGGAAACAGACAGATTTTGGTACGTATTATTTATGATATTTATAATCTAACATGATATCTATATGTTACTATAACAGTAAAGTATTCTCTGAATATAACTATTACTATAGTTAGGAACAGAAAAGAGTTTGGACTTACTTTTAGTTTCTTCGATAGCCCAGGGTATTAAGGCGCTGGTCTTAAATCTCTCACGTTGTTCTTGGATAATTTTGCTCTTGTCCTACTGCCCCTTCACACAGCATTGATTTTTTAAGTATTTGCTGTATACACTTTCACGCTTTAATATATGGTTGGAATGGAACCTTGCGGGGTCGACCATTCCCTCTACCCTCAGTGACTGTCCCTCTACCCTCGATTATTTTATATTTGTCCAAGTTAGGGAAAGGTAGGTAGGCGGATGGATATTCAATACTTTGTTTGTAACGCATTTTGAAACCGAACAACTATCTATATAATATTAAGAATATTCTATAATCACTTTGAATTTATTCATAGAATTAAAATCTGAATGAGCACTTTCTCTGTTTGGTAAAGACCATCAAAGAAAAGTCCATGCAACAAACGGATGTGAAATCTTTTTGTCGCTGCGCCTATCAAGTGATGAACGTTCTATTAGTCTATGCTCGATCAGCGACGCAATTATTTTTGCCATAACATGTCTGTGACTAAATAAAACGAGTTTAGATTAGATTTTATTTTAGACTATTCGGATCCTTTACAGATTCCGTCAGATCTACATCGACGTCTTAAATGAAATTTAATATAAAGGCGTTACATGTGTTGAAAGTGACGGTTTTAGTGTGACACATTTTCAAGCTAGTGCAAAAATATTACGCCGCAATCTTAACGTTAAAATTGACCGTGTATAAAAGCCATTACCTAGATAAAATATATAATTGATCTTGAATTTCATTTGGTCATGTCTGTCCGTTATGCCCAATAATTGTAGAATGGGTATGTGTCTGTGATACCCCTTATTGTATGAGCAGAGGGGTCATGCAAAACAGAATCCTTATGGAAACGTTTCCTAAGTCTATTTTTAAAATTTTACATATTTCAAACGACGTCACTGAAAAGATATGCCCATGCTATAAAAAGCTAGATACGCAATTTCAATTTCGTTAATTACAGCTTATAATATTAACCGATATGGGATATTCGAGTCGATAATCAAAGATTGCCTCGGCTTGGCCTGGATTTTTTTTTCACTGATTTATGTATTAATCTGGCGTTATTTTCACAGGTTGGTGTCACATCTTTTGGTGCAGCTGCCGGTTGCACTGTTGGTTTCCCAGCTGCCTATGCACGAGTTACGTCATTTTTGTCATGGATACACTCTGTCTAAATAAGAACAAGTTTTTATGAAATAAAGATTTTCATTTATCTTTTATCGTATTTCTTTGTACACTTGAGCATTGAAATTGTCCTCAACTATTTACAAAAGTTAGTACCTATTCAAGAAATAGACTCTCTATCTAGCAACTTCATATATATACAGTTTCACGGTTATAAGTATTTCTTTTGTTTAACTTTCCGAGTAAAGTGGGGGATTTGAGCTATGAAATAGGCTAGTTGACATTTTTTTTATTTTATAAATAAATAGTCCATTAATATCTGAGAAATAATGTAGAAGTCTGCGATTAATAGTTTTGGAGATACCTTACTATGTTTGTGGAAATCCTGATAGTCGGCCGAATACGTTCCCTACAAATTCAAGACACTAAGTGACGTCACTACAATGCAACGGTTGCATAACGTAGAGGGGTCTGGGTAATCTTTGCAATACTTTGTTATTTGTGCGTTTATCTTTATAGCTCTTATAATGAAAGTTATAACTTTTTATATCACCAATTTATTGTCGAATGTATTTTAGCAAATTTTTGTAGTACATTTTCCCTACTTTTCAAGTTTTCAAAACGTAATATTCTTCAAAGTACTATCATAAAAGTTATCTTGTTAAATACTTATAAGCTCAAAAAAAGGAAGAATCAAGACTTTAAGGTTTAAACCCTTGACATATGAATTTTCTATCCTAACAACAGTTACTAGTATATATTTTCCGATACATAGAAGTTTGAACTTTAGGAATCTATAATATGAAGATAGTTTTTGAGGAATTATGTGGAGACAAAAAATATTTAACATTAAAAATTCAAATTTAGCTGTTACCGAGGTAAGCTACAGTGTTTGCAGCTAATACCGCGATTTTTTATTCTATTATCGAGGGAAGAAAAATCTATCATTCTATTATCTCCCCCGGTAATCCAATGGTTCCTTTACATGTTGGTTCCATACAAAATCTTTAATAAAAAACAAATTATTGGCTACTCTATACTTTAATCGTCAATTTTTAACTCTGATAAAGTTTTTTATCAAAATCACTACATTACGGTATCATTACCTACTACCATTATTACAATGGCACTTATGCATCACTTTTGATAGTTTTGATAGTCTTAATGTATAATATCTATTTATTTTTTTCTTAAATTGGAACTTTTAATACTAAGCTTTAAATTTTTAAAGATAAAACATCTTTTGTTATTTTATCTCGTACGATTAACATGTTATTTGGGACATATTTGTTTGTAAAAGCAATGAAAAACTACTTTAAATTGCGAGGCACTGTTTTTGAAGATGTTATTAGAAGATATTTGATAACAAAAATGTTTCCCCTTGAGTGCGGCCGGCAACATGTAGATGTACTCGCACAGAACGGACTGTTGCTGACTGTACATGTAGATGTTGTGCAAACTGTACCTAAATCATAGATTTATTCATTCCCAGAGCTGTAAAATAGGTACTTGCTGTGCAACATTTTTTCTAACCTATGGGAACATGAAATAAAAGATAAACTTATTTTTGTATTAAAAGCAAGTGGTAGCCTTAAATGTTTGGCCAAATGTGTAACAATCGTACAGTAGTACCACAGCAGATAAAATTTATTTACAATGGTAGACCGATTGTTACGTAAACATTAAATCCTGAGTTAGAAAAATAGGTAGGTATAGGTGAAAGTAGGGTTTTGAATTTCACATATGGTACCTACTTATTAGTTTCTAGAGAACCCTAAACTAAAGAATAAGTTCTATTATCAGTCGGTATTAGAATTAAAAAGTGAAGTTAATACCAAATAATAACACTCGGTGATAGCTTCGTGAACAAGGTACCTATTGCCGATTGATAGCTTGTTTTCACCATCGATGATATCTGCTTCATCCGTGATAGTGTAAATAATGTAATTCCAAAGGATAAAATTTGATTAACTTTTAACAATACAAAAGTTTAAACGATGACTAATAAAGTTACCTAAACATAAACAAGATTTTTGAATTAAGTACTTAGGTTTAAAATACAGACTGGATTATGATTTCATATCGTATTAATTTAGTGCTCTCATACAAAGTTAATTTTTTATGGTTTAATTTAGGACAACAAAAGAAGAGTTCTAACGCAATTTTTATACAGCGGAAATTGTTTTTTACGATAATTATCTAATTATCTGAACGAATTACCAAACCATCTGAATTGATTTTATATAGAATTTTCTTAAAAAAAGAATATAACCAATAGTATTTATTTATGCTATTACTTAATAAATTCAAGAAGATAATTGTGTAGCTATCACCACGGTATTTTATTTTTATGTGTTGTCGAAAAATAATGCAATATAAAATAAAATTAAATAATTACAATAACTGCTGAAACTATAATCCACCTTGTGACCTTGTTTGAATCGGTATACATGGTTCTTTTAGACTCTTCAATCCTTAGCAAAATATTGAGTGCACTTACGTATGGTTTACATGGACTTGCGTTTATATGGACGTCACGCTCTGGCATCGGCTGGACGCAAACTAATTGTTTTTTTGTTTTTCTGATTTGTTGTGAATAGCGTGCCACGGTTCCATTGAAACGAATATTAATTGATCTTTCATAAAAGTTTAACTTTTTCAGTAAAATATGCCTGCAATTGCCTTAAACTACGATTATACCATAAACCTCGATGATACCTGCAGATTTTCGACTACCGCGGTAATACCTGCGTTTACCTTACTGTCGATTGGATCTGCTATGGAGGATTAATTTAAATTAGTTTGCAAAATTGATAAGAAAGTAGTGATAAGTGGTAATTTTGATATATAGATATTTTAATAAATTCAAGCTAATTTGAATAGGTTTTTGAACTCTTTTAAATGTTTTAGTTTAGAAAATATTTTTAATATACTCGTACCTATTCGCATTTTAACCACATCTGCCACTTGCTTAGATAATATTTTCTGTAAATGTAAGGTGTTTAAAAAGTTAATAGTAAATTGTATCCGATCTGACCATAGCGGATTTCTAACAACTTTCGAGCACTGTTATGTTTCTCCTAAATGCAATATAATTTGTAGACCTATTATCACTAAAAGTAATTTAGATTTTTTTTTCTGCAAATCAGACTCAGTTGATAGCTTGTAATTTGGAAAATATAAATGACGTCTTTAATATTTTACTTGATAAAGGAAGAATTTGAAAAAATATTTAAACTCATAACAATTAATTTTACTAACCAAAACAAGAAATTTAGTCATTGGGTCTCACCTGGCATCTACAAAAGACGAAATAGGCTGTATGATTTATATATATATATATATATATATATATATACACTTAAGCCTTCGACTGATCCACGGTTTATTGAATATGTCAGAAATTATTCAAAAATTTTTAGCAAAGTAAGTATTCAGCAAAAGCAAAATATATATCAATCAAGAAACAGGAAAAATAAATGTACTCGTAATATGCGCATATACTCATTACAAGTTAACAAGAAAGTTATTAAAGCTGATGAAGCGGTTGCCGATACATTTGAGAAATTCTTTTCTAAGACACCAATAGAAATCACTAGAAATCTTAGTTCATGTTTTATACTTGTGGTTACTCATCTAGAATCAGTTATTGTTAAGTGCAATACTGAATTTTATTTTAGAAATCTTAACGAAAATTTAATTATTAAAACATTTAATTCCATTAATGACAAAAAAACCGAAGAACATCGGGGCGTCAAATCTATAATGCCATCTATTGCGCCTCAATTAACTTTTATTTTTAATAAGTGCATGGATGAAAGAACTTTTCCTGGTTAATTAAATATGGAAAAATAATCCCACTTTTCAAGGCAGACGACAAGCCTGATCCCAGTAATTTCAGACTATATCTATACTGCCAGCGCTAAGTAAATTATTTGAGAAAATTATTTACAATGCAGTGGCTCCCATCACTGTGGGCGTACCTCAGGGATCGGTATTAGGACCATTGTTTTTTTTCTAATTTACAATAATGATCTCCTCACTTTACGAAGAATTTGTGCGAGACAGTTTTATTTGCACATCTTTGGTGTTTAAAGTTCAGAGGGGTAATGATTATTTCGACGATGTAAATGATGCTCTCGAAAGTATTCTACAGTTGTTTGTAATAATAATTTAAAGCTCAATTCAAATAAAACGAAATGCATAAATTTGCATTAACTAATCTAAGGTATGTTAGTACACTTATAAATGTAAATAGTGAAAAAGTTGAGTTGGTAGAATTGACAAAGTTTCTTGGTATTACAATAGATTCCTGACTACAATGGGATCCTTATATTGATAACTTGTCAAGCAGATTGAGTTCTGCAGCTTTTGCTGTTAACAGCGAGTCTAGTCTAGTTTTCTTAAGTAAACTAGACTCTTTCGTTTCGTTTTGATTCGATGGAATGTATTCATTGGATGGAAAAACGTGTCAAAAACTAATAAATTGCGTATACCACTAGACAGATAAACAAATAACATTTGAAAAAGATCAAAAGAACAACAGTTGAAACAGCGTAAGTATCACTTATCCGAGTATACCTAATGTACGATAAATATGGTCAGACACAAGAGCAGAGAGAAGTGAGAAAAAATATAGAAAAATAACTATTCTAAGGACCGTTCACAGAATGGATCACCAAAACAATATTATCTCCGTGCTTCGGAATTCAAGCCGTTGGTTTCGGCTGTATCAGTAGTCGTTAACACTCACCAATTCGCTTTGGGCCCGCGCAGTGCGTTATGGACCATTGATCCTACTTGATTCTAACCCAACCTAGGGAAAAAACAAGTCTCCTGATATGCATTCCCACGCAGACGAAGTCGTGGGCACAGCTATTTTTCAACTTCCTTCAAATTCTCGTCTGTTTGTCAAAAATATTAAAAAGAAAAATTGTTTTTTGTTGCCACATAATACACATACAATAAAAGGAAAGTAAAAATATAATTTGACACACAAATTGAAATACTTCACTCTAATGCATGCGCCTTGTGATGCTGAATTGAACTGAACCCATTCGCTTATTTTTTAAGCATCAGCTCTCCAATCAGTAGCTCGTAATTTAATTTCCCACATTTCATAATTAATTCATTCTTTACGGCTGGGATGACCTTTTTTTCCTTTCTTTTTCTTTAATTATTTCTTATTACTAACCAAGACCAAGGACCAAGACCGTGGGTTAACGTATATTTATTTCCTTTCATAATTAACATTCTTATTGCTTATTATTATGTAAAATTTAATACAATTGCTTTTAATTGTTTTACAATCTCCCTTATTTTTATTACTTAACCTAATGCTATTTTTGAAGTGTTATGCATTTATTATATTTGATCGATTTTGCATTCACAATTCTGTACTGGACTTAATGAAAACTGCTTAAAAAATGCTTAAAAACCCACTTTGTTACTGGTACCTTGAACTGGAACATACTGTCAGAGTATCAGGGACAAAGTGGATTTTTAATCTTTTTACATTAAGAATGTTATACATTTATTTTAATTTATTCTATTTACATGCTTAAATTATTTATTATATTCGAGTCATTACTTCTACTTGACTATAGATACGAGTGTAAAAATTTCAAATAAATTGTTTTCATTGGTTACAGAATTAGAAACGCACTTAGACAAGATAATAGCAAAACTAAGTCTTGTTTGTACCAATGGAATCGCCACCAATGTGCAGATAATTTACATAAAAAGCATTGAAACAAAATCAAAAGGTTTTGAAAATTTCAGAAGTTTCGTTTATGGAAAACCAGAATAAGTCCCCAGATAGTTACACGTTCAATGATTGAGACCATCAGTCATTGAACGTGTAATGTACAATTAAATAATTTATTAACAGATATAATGTGATAATCTGTAATCTGGCGTGATTAAAAAAACCAACAAACTATATGTATAACAACAAAAAATATGCCTAATATATTGAAGTTATCAAGTTTAAGGTATATCCTCTAAAGCAGGGTTCCTTAAACATTTGGCTCCACGCTCCATTTTGGTTGCTTTAAAGATTGCTTTTTAGCGACATAGCCACCAATTATACTGTAAAAAAGTTATAATTAAAATTGTTATGTTGTTTTTCCATGCACAATAAGTGTTTACAATTAATTATTATTCTATTCTATTCATTAATTCATTCTATTTTAGGAGTCATTTTAGAAAATTTTATCTTTATCGTGAAGTTATTATACATTAAATGAGAGTGTTCCAGAGTGACTCCAGTGTTTTTAGTGGGTAGACGCCCGCCCTTACTGGGGGAGTGTCCCGCACATCTCTTTACATTTACATAGTGCGTGACGCGTTATCCCTAGCTCAAAAAAGGGTTAGCGTGCCACACTTTGAGAAACCCTGATCTAACAGCAAATAATTCATTTCCTATGATAGTGGCGCCAATTGAGGCGAATTTTAATTGAAACTCCGAGTGCTAAAAATCACCTAAATATGTTTCAATGACATTCTTATGGTTTAAAGTACTACATCGAACTGTAATTGAAACGAATTTACATAGTTTTCCAATACTCAGGATTTCAAAAATTCCTAGAGCGTATTAATGTAAAATTCGGGAGACATGACCAAGACATTACCAAGTAAAATTCGCGCTCTCATATTGACTGTCATGTTGTTTTCTTGAGGCATCAATTTTAAGCAGATTTATGCCTTAAAAAGATTTTTTAGGCATAAAGCCGGTTTCAACATACAGCTCTACCAAGTACATAGTGTTTCAGCTTTCAAACGGTAAAACGTAGCTCTTATTCCAAATCAACCACCATAAAATTTTATTGAATATAGCCGAAAAGTCTTTATATTTGAACGGAACCATCTATGATGTCGCTCTTGGACGACATTTGCGATAGTGATTATTATGTAAGATAAGATTACAATTAGAAATTTGTAAGTATATATATGAAGTACAATCTACATTATTATTCGTAAAGTTGTCAATATGAAGTTGTTATTTGGAATCTTTGTCTTGGTTCTAGCCGTTGTAGCCTCATATGCGGAGGTAAACTCCGTTGAGGAACTCACTGCGTTTAACTACCATACGAGGATTGGTATACCAGAAGCCACTAGAAGAAAGCAGCTCGAAGAGGAAGCAGCCAAAACCGGTCAGGATATTCAGAGAATTGTTGGAGGACAAATTACTGCTATTTCTGCAGTCCCATATCAGGTAAGATTTAATGTTTAGTTAAAGGTTTTTTTTAATGGACCTGTCTTTAATATTATTATAAATTAACACTAATATTCTTCCATACTCTACTCAAACATTTCCATATATTTTATTTTGGTGTTTATTCTTAACATCAATTAATTTTATGTACTCATCTCATTTTATACTTTCAGGTTGGCATCCTCATCCACGTCACAGCCTCACTGACGTCTATGTGTGGTGGCTCTCTAATTTCTCCCACTCGCATCATTAGTGCTGCTCACTGCCAAAACGATGGCAACTTCAATGCAATAGCCTTTACTGCAATCCTTGGTTCCGCCAACTTCTTCTCAGGTGGTGTTCGCATTTGGACCAATGATATTGTGAACCATCCACAATGGAACCCAGCTACTATAGACAACGATATTACCGTTGTTCGCATACCTCAAGTTACATATACAAGTAAGTATTTCCCTTAAATTATTTTTGTATAAACAGTAGTGATGTTGTATAAAGTATCATTTATTTATTATTTACAACTTTCGACATCAACAAACAACTGGTAATAAATTTACTTATTCAGCTTTCTTTTGTAGATGTCATTCAACCTATTGCTTTACCGATTGGCGCTGAAGTAAACAACCTATTCACCGGTCAAATTGCTCTAGCATCTGGTTTTGGTCGTATTGCAGATGGTAAGTAACAATACAAAAACAAAAGAGACAATACAATTGAAAATTATGCAGTCGAAGGAGTATAAAATTGAATACATTTGTAATTCATATGCAGAAAAAAATATATGAAAAAATGTAAATTTGCTAATATTATGTTATAAATAACAAAAACAATTAAAAACATACAAACTTGAGAATCCTTAGATTTAGGTATAATCAGATTTTTATGCTGCAAATTTTGCGTCACAGAGACATGAGCAGTTTTTAGGCTGCTTAGCTTAAAACAGTCCATTTGCATTGATTGATTGGACGTTAGATAGTGGATATCGTTGGTTCAAAATCTTTTATGACTTGAACTTAAACAGTTATCGTTGTTTACATCGTTTGGTAAATTTAATCTGCGCATAAAACCATTTGAGATATTGGTTGAACCATTAATTTTGAATGAAGTTTATCTTTAAAAGAAATTCAATCTAACAGACATTTTGTAACCGCTGATCTACATTATTTCACTTTAAGCTCAAAAAAAAATTTAAACAATAAAAAATTATAACTTTAGAGCTGAATAATACCCTGATTCTATTTTATAAAAAATAGCCCGGAACGCGGACTCTCGTAAAGAAAGTAATGAATTTATATTTAAAAAAATTAAACACATCAGCGCATCTGCAGTACAAAAGGACAAATTTTACAGTTGATTTTGAACTTAACCACCGAATCCTAAAGCTGAGGCCTAATCTATTGTACAAGCTAATCTGACCCCTCGCTCTTGATGTTACTCTTATTACGAACTATTAGATTTTCTATATTTGCTTCTTCTATCTAGCGTATAATTATTTCAGGTAATGTTGCACAGAATCAACTCCTCCACTCTGTGAGTCTTCCCATTATCTCAAATTTCCAATGTTCTCTCACCTTCGGAGGCTTCATAAGAAGCACAAATATTTGCACAAGCGGAGCTGGTGGTATGGGCACATGCCAAGGTGATTCTGGTGGACCTCTCGTCGTAACTAGCGGAAACAGACAGATTTTGGTACGTATTATTTATGATATTTATAATCTAACATGATATCTTTATCTATAACAGTAAAGTATTATCTCTGAATATAACTATAACTATCTATATAATTTTAAGGATATTCTATAATCACTATGAATTTATTTATAGAATTAAAAACTGAATGAGCCCTTTCTTCGTTTGGTAAAGACCATCAGAGAAAAGACCACGCAACAAACGGATGTGAGATCTTTTTGTCACTGCGCCTATTAAGTGATGAAGTTCTATTAGTCTTTGCTCGATCAGCGACGCAAATTTTTTGCCATAACATGTCTGATACTAAATAAAACGAGTTTATATTACATTTCATTTTAGTCTATTCGGATCCTTTACAGATTCCATCATATCTACGTCGCCGTCTTAAATGAAATTTAATATAAAGGCGTTACATCCGTTGAAAGTAGTTATATATGAGTAGTGCTAAAATATAAAATAAAAAAACCAGTATGTCTGTTACTGTATTAGTGTGACACACCTTCAAGTTAGTGCAAAAATATTACGAAACAATCTTAACGTTAAAATTTGGTCGTGTCAGCCCGTTATGCCCAATAATTTTAGAATGGGTCTGTATCTGTGTTACCCCTTATTGTATAAGCAGAGTGGTTATGCAAAACAGAATCCTTATGAAAACGTTATGACGTCACTGAAAAGATATGCGCATGCTATAAAAATCTAGATACGCAATATCAGTTTCGTTAATTACAGCTTATAATATTGACTTGACCGATATTAGATATTTGAGTCGATAATTGAAGATTACCTCGGCTAGGCCTGGATTTTTTTTTATTGATTTATGTATTAATGTGGCGTTATTTTCACAGGTTGGCGTCACATCTTTTGGTTCAGCTGCCGGTTGCACTGTTGGTTTCCCAGCTGCCTATGCGCGAATTACGTCATTTTTGTCATGGATACACTCTGTCTAAACAAGAGCAAGATTTTATGAAATAAAGATTTTCATTAATCTTTCATCGTATTTCTTTGTACACTACAGCATTGAAATTGTCCTCAACTATTTACAAAAGTTTGTAGGTACCATTCAAGAATTAGACTCTTTATCTAACAACTTCATATAGATGAAGTTTAACGGTTATAAGTATTTCTTTTGTTTAACTTTTCGAGTTAGAGTTCCGAGAAAGTGTGGGATTTGAACTGTGAAATAGGCTAGTTGACATTTTTTTATTTTATAAATAAAAAGTCCATTAATATCTGAGAAATAGTGTAGAAATCTGCGAATAACAGTTTTGGAGATACCGTTCTATGTTTATGGAACTGCTGATAGTCGGCCGAATACGCTCCCTACAAATTCAAGGCACTAAATGACGTCACTACAATGCAACGGTTGCGAAAAACGTAGAAGGGTCGGGGTAATCTTTGCAATACTTTGTTAGTTATGCGTTTATGTTTATAGCTCTTATAATGAAAGTTGTAACATTCTATATCTCCAATTTATTGTCGAATGTATTTTAGCAAATTTTTGTAATACATTTTTCCTTCTTTTTCAAGTTTTCAAAACGTAATTTTTCCAAAGTACTATCATAAAAGTTATCTTGTTAAATACTTATAAACTAAAAGAAGGAAGAATCAAGACTTTAAGGTTTAAACCCTTGACATATGATTTTTTTTACCTTTATTTTAACAGTTACTAGTATATATTTTCTGATACATAGAAGTTTCAACTTTAGGAATCTATTAATATGAAGATAGTTTTTGAGGAAATATGTATAGTCAAAAAAATATTTAACATAAAAATCCAAATGAAGCTATTACCGAGGGTAGAAAAATCTATCATTCTATTACTTTTCTACCCTCGGTAATAGAATACAATGGTTCCTTTACATGTTGGTTCCATACAAAATCTTTAATAAAAAACAAATGATTGACTACTCTATATTTTAATCGACAATTTTTAACTCTGATAAAGTTTTTTATCAAAATCACTACATTACGGAATCATTACCTACTACTATTATTACAATGGTACTTATGCATCACTTTTGATACTCTTGATAGTCTTAATGTATAATTTCTTTTTATTTTGTTCTTAAATTGGAACTTTTAATTCTAAGCTATAAATTGTTAAGTTAAAACATCCTTTGTTATTTTTTCTCGTACGATTAACATGATATTTTGGACATATTTGTTTGTAAAAGCAATGAAAAACTACTGTAAATTGTGAGGCACTGTTTTTGAAGATGTTATTAGAAGATATTTGATAAAAAAAGTTTCTCCTTAAGTGCGGCCGGCAACAAGTAGATGTACTCGCACAGAACGGACTGTTGCTGACTGTAGATGTAGATGTTGAGCAAACTGTACCTTAATCATAGATTTATTAATTCCCAGAGCTGTAAAATAGGTACTTGCTGTGCAAAATTTTTTCTAACCAATGGGAACATGAAATAAAAGATAAACTTATTTTTGTATTAAAAGCAAATGGTAGCCTTAAATGTTTGGCCAAATGTGTAACAATCATACAGTAGTACCACAGCAGATAAAATTTATTTACAATGGTAGACCGATTGTTACGTAAACATTAAATCCTGAGTTAGAAAAATAGGTAGGTATAGGTGAAAGCAGGGTTTTGAATTTCACACATGGTACCTACTTATTAGTTTCTAGAGAACCCTAAACTAAAGAATAAGTTCTATTATCAGTCGGTATTAGAATTAAAAAGTGAAGTTAATACCAAATAATAACACTCGGTGATAGCTTCGTGAACAAGGTACCTATTGCCGATTGATAGCTTGTTTTCACCATCGATGATATCCGCTTCATCCGTGATAGTGTAAATAATGTAATTCCAAGGGATAAAATTTAATGAGCTTTTAACAATACAAAAGTATAAACGATGACTAATAAAGTAACCTAAACATAAACAAGATTTTTGAATTAAGTACTTAGGTTTAAAATACAGACTGGGTTATGATTTCATATCGTATTAATTTAGTGCTCTCATACAAAATTAATTTTTTATGGTTTAATTTAGGACAACAAAATAAGAGTTCTAACGCAATTTTTATACCGCGGAAATTGTTTTTTACGATAATTATCTAATTATCTGAACGAATTACCAAACCATCTGAATTGATTTTATATAGAATTTTCTTAAAAAAAAGAATATAACCATTAGTATTTATTTATGCTATTACTTAATAAATTCAAGAAGATAATTGTGTAGCTATCACCACGGTATTTTATTTTTATGTGTTGTCGAAAAATAATGCAATATAAAATAAAATTAAATAATTACAATAACGGCTGAAACTATAATCCACCTTGTGACCTTGTTTGAATCTGTATACATGGTTCTTTTAGACTCTTCAATCCTTAGCAAAATATTGAGTGCACTTACGTATGGTTTACATGGACTTGCGTTTATATGGACGACACGCTCTGGCATCGGCTGGACGCAAACTAATTGTTTTTTTGTTTTTCTGATTTGTTGTGAATAGCGTGCCACGGTTTTATTGAAACGAATATTAATTGATCTTTCATAAAAGTTTAACTTTTTCAGTAAAATATGCCTGCAATTGCCTAAAACTACGATTATACCATATACCTCGATGATACCTGCAGATTTTCGACTACCGCGGTAATACCTGCGTTTACCTTACTGTCGATTGGATCTGCTATGGAGGATTAATTTAAATTAGTTTGCAAAATTGATAAAAAAAGTAGTGATAAGTGGTAATTTTGATATATAGATATTTTAATAAATTCAAGCTAATTTGAGTAGGTTTTTGAACTCTTTTAAATGTTTTAGTTTAGAAAATATTTTTAATATACTCGTACCTATTCGCATTTTAACCACATCTGCCACTTGCTTAGATAATATTTTCTGTAAATGTAAGGTGTTTAAAAAGTTAATAGTAAATTGTATCCGATCTGACCATAGCGGATTTCTAACAACTTTCGAGCACTGTTATGTTTCTCCTAAATGCAATATAATTTGTAGACCTATTATCACTAAAAGTAATTTAGATTTTTTTTTCTGCAAATCAGACTCAGTTGATAGCTTGTAATTTGGAAAATATAAATGACGTCTTTAATATTTTACTTGATAAAGGAAGAATTTGAAAAAATATTTAAACTCATAACAATTAATTTTACTAACCAAAACAAGAAATTTAGTCATTGGGTCTCACCTGACATCTACAAAAGACGAAATAGGCTGTATGATTTATATATATATACTTAAGCCTTCGACTGATCCACGGTTTATTGAATATGTCAGAAATTATTCAAAAATTTTTAGCAAAGTAAGTATTTAGCAAAAGCAAAATATATAGGTATCTGAAAAAAAATACAATTTAGAAAATAAAATAAAAACAACCGGAGCATTAAATATAAATCAATCAAGAAACAGGAAAAATAAATGTACTCGTAATATGCGCATATACTCATTACAAGTTAACAAGAAAGTTATTAAAGCTGATGAAGCGGTTGCCGATACATTTGAGAAATTCTTTTCTAAGACACCAATAGAAATCACTAGAAATCTTAGTTCATGTTTTATACTTGTGGTTACTCATCTAGAATCAGTTATTGTTAAGTGCAATACTGAATTTTATTTTAGAAATCTTAACGAAAACTCAATTATTAAAACATTTAATTCCATTAATGACAAAAAAACCGAAGAACATTGGGGCGTCAAATCTATAATGCCATCTATTGCGCCTCAATTAACTTTTATTTTTAATAAGTGCATGGATGAAAGAACTTTTCCTGGTTAATTAAATATGGAAAAATAATCCCACTTTTCAAGGCAGACGACAAGCCTGATCCCAGTAATTTCAGACTATATCTATACTGCCAGCGCTAAGTAAATTATTTGAGAAAATTATTTACAATGCAGTGGCTCCCATCACTGTGGGCGTACCTCAGGGATCGGTATTAGGACCATTGTTTTTTTCTAATTTACAATAATGATCTCCTCACTTTACGAAGAATTTGTACGAGACAGTTTTATTTGCACATCTTTGGTGTTTAAAGTTCAGAGGGGTAATGATTATTTCGGCGATGTAAATGATGCTCTCGAAAGTATTCTACAGTTGTTTGTAATAATAATTTAAAGCTCAATTCAAATAAAACGAAATGCATAAATTTGCATTAACTAATCTAAGGTATGTTAGTACACTTATAAATGTAAATAGTGAAAAAGTTGAGTTGGTAGAATTGACAAAGTTTCTTGGTATTACAATAGATTCCTGACTACAATGGGATCCTTATATTGATAACTTGTCAAGCAGATTGAGTTCTGCAGCTTTTGCTGTTAACAGCGAGTCTAGTCTAGTTTTCTTAAGTAAACTAGACTCTTTCGTTTCGTTTTGATTCGATGGAATGTATTCATTGGATGGAAAAACGTGTCAAAAACTAATAAATTGCGTATACCACTAGACAGATAAACAACATTTGAAAAAGATCAAAAGAACAACAGTTGAAACAGCGTAAGTATCACTTATCCGAGTATACCTAATGTACGATAAATATGGTCAGACACAAGAGCAGAGAGAAGTGAGAAAAAATAACTATTCTAAGGACCGTTCACAGAATGGATCACCAAAACAATATTTTCTCCGTGCTTCGGAATTCAAGCCGTTGGTTTCGGCTGTATCAGTAGTCGTTAACACTCACCAATTCGCTTTGGGCCCGCGCAGTGCGTTATGGACCATTGATCCTACTTGATTCTAACCCAACCTAGGGAAAAAACAAGTCTCCTGATATGCATTCCCACGCAGACGAAGTCGTGGGCACAGCTATTTTTCAACTTCCTTCAAATTCTCGTCTGTTTGTCAAAAATATTAAAAAGAAAAAAATGTTTTTTGTTACCACACATTACACATACAATAAAAGGAAAGTAAAAATATAATTTGACACACAAATTGAAATACTTCACTCTAATGCATGCGCCTTGTGATGCTGAATTGAACTGAACCCATTCGCTGATTTTTTTAACATCTGCTCTCCAATCAGTAGCTCGTAATTTAATTTCCAACATTTGATAATTCATTCATTCTTTACAGCTGGGATTAACTTTTTCTCCTTTCTTTTTCTTTAATTATTTCTTATTACTAATACAGGGACCAAGACCGTGGGTTCCAAGAACATTCTTATTGCTTATTATTATGTAAAATTTAATACAATTGCTTTTAATTGTTTTACAATCTCCCTTATTTTTATTACTTAACCTAATGCTATTTTTGAAGTGTTATGCATTTATTATATTTGATCAATTTTGCATTCACAATTCTGTACTGGACTTAATGAAAATTGCTTAAAAAATGCTTAAAAACTCACTTTGTTACTGGTACCTTGAACTGGAACATACTGTCAGAGTATCAGGGACAAAGTGGATTTTTGAGCTTTTTGTATTGAGAATATTATACATTTATTTTAATTTATTCTATTTATATGCTTAAATTATTTATTATATTCGAGTCATTACTTCTATTTGACTATAGATACGAGTGTAAAAATTTCAAATAAATTGTTTTCATTGGTTACAGAACTAGAAACGCACTTAGACAAGATAATAGCAAAACTAAGTCTTGTTTGTACCAATGGAATCGCCACCAATGTGCAGATAATTGACATAGAAAGCATTGAAACAAAATCAAAAGGTATCGAAAATTTCAGAAGCTTCGTTTATGGAAAACCAGAATAAGTCCCCAGATAGTTACACGTTCAATGATTGAGACCATCAGTCATTGAACGTGTAATGTACAATTAAATAATTTATTAACAGATATAATGTGATAAAAGAAGTGATAATCTGTAATCTGGCGCGATTAAAAAAACCAACAAACTATATGTATAACAACAAAAAATATGCCTAATATATTGAAGTAATCAAGTTTAAGGTATATCTTCTAAAGCAGGGTTCCTTAAACATTTGGCTCCACGAACCCCTGTAAAACATTTCAGATGAAAGCGAACCACTTAATTAAAAATAATAGAATTGGTTCTTGCAGAAAAAAGGTTTTTTTTAAATAAAAATTAAGAAATGGCTTTTTTTCTTTTTGTTGTAAATTGAGTAAATTATTTTTCTCACTTTCCAGCCCAACCTTTGGTTGCTTTAAAGATTGCTTTTTAGCGACATAGCCACCAATTATGCTGTAACAAAAGTTATTATTAAAATTGTTATGTTGTTTTTCCATGTACAATAAGTGTTTACAATTAATTATTATTCTATTCTATTCATTAATTCATTCTATTTTAGGAGTCATTTTAGAAAATTTTATCTTTATCGTGAAGTTATTATACCACCGTTACGGAATTCTTGCCGCGAACCCATAGCCTGGGGATGGTTGTCCCGCCGAATACACTCGGGTTTCCGGGTGCCTCTCTTAAATGAGAGTGTTCCAGAGTGACTCCAGTGTTTTTAGTGGGTAGGCCCCCGCCCTTACTGGGGATAGTGCGTGACGCGTTATTCCTAGCTCAAAAAAGGGTTAGCGTGCCACACTTTGAGAAACCCTGATCTAACAACAAATAATTCATTTTCTATGATAGTGACGCCAATTGAGGCGAATTTTTATTGAAAATCCGAGTGCTAAAAATCACCTAAATATGTTTCAATGACATTCTTATGGTTTAATGACCACTACATCGAACTGTAATTGAAACGAATTTACATAGTTTTTCAATATTTCAAGATTTCAAAAATTCCTAGAGTGGAGATTGGATTGACCAAGCAGGATACATACACTATTAGACATAAATCCGTGTAAGATTCGCCCTCTCAAATTCACTGTCATGCTTTTCATAAGGCATTCATTTAAACCAGATTTATGCCTTAAAGACACTTTAAAAGGAATAAATCCGTTTTCTGGGTACATAGTGTTTCAACTTTCAAACGTTAAAATGAAGCTCTTATTTCAAATTAACCACCATAAAATTTTATTGGAACTAGAACGGAAATTTTATTTTTTTTAATGGAACCATCTGCACACGAGTGTGACCTCGCTCTTGGACGACTTTGCTGATAAAATAGTCTTATTATTTTTCGGTAATAATTATTATGTAAGATAAGATTAGAAGTAAAAATTTTTAAGTATATAAATGGAGTACAATCTACATAAATATTCGTATAGTGGTCAACATGAAGTTGTTATTTGGAATCTTTGTCTTGGTTCTAGCCGTTGTAGCCTCATATGCGGAGGTAAACTCCGTTGAGGAACTCACTGCGTTTAATTACCATACGAGGATTGGTATACCAGAAGCCACTAGAAGAAAGCAGCTCGAAGAGGAAGCAGCCAAAACCGGTCAGAATGTTCAGAGAATTGTTGGAGGACAAATTACTGCTATTTCTGCAGTCCCATATCAAGTAAGATTTAATGTTTAGTAAAAGGTTTTTTTTTAATGGACCTGTCTTTAATATTATTATAAATTAACACTAATATTCTTCCATACTCTACTCAAACATTTCCATATATTTTATTTTGGTGTTTATTCTTAACATCAATTAATTTTATGTACTCATCTCATTTTATACTTTCAGGTTGGCATCCTCATCCACGTCACAGCCTCACTGACATCTATGTGTGGTGGCTCTCTAATTTCTCCCACTCGCATCATTAGTGCTGCTCACTGCCAAAACGATGGCAGCTTCAATGCAATAGCCTTTACTGCAATCCTTGGTTCCGCCAACTTCTTCTCAGGCGGTGTTCGCATTTGGACCAATGACATTGTGAACCATCCACAATGGAACCCAGCTACTTTAGACAACGATATTACCGTTGTTCGCATACCTCAAGTTACATATACAAGTAAGTATTTCGCAAAATCTATTTTTGTATAAACAGTAGTAATATTGTATAAATCATCATTTATTATAAATTTACTTATTCAGTTTTCTTTTGTAGATGTCATTCAACCTATTGCTTTACCGAGTGGCGCTGAAGTAAACAACCTATTCACCGGTCAAATTGCTCTAGCATCTGGTTTTGGTCGTATTGCAGATGGTAAGTAACAATACAAAAACAAAAAAGACATTACAATTGAAAATTATGCAGTTGATGGAGTATAAAATTGAATACATTTGTAATTCATATGCAGAAAAAAATATATGAAAAAATGTAAATTTGCTAATATAATGTTATAAATAACAAAACCAATTAAAAACCATACAAACTTCAGAATACTTAGATTTAGGTATTATCAGATTTTTATGCTACGAATTTTGCGTCGCAGAGACATGAGCAGTTTTTAGGCTTTAGCTTAAAACAGTCCATTTTGTATTGATTGATTGGACGTTAGATAGTGGATATCGTTGGTTCAAAATCTTTTACGACTTCAACTTAAACAGTTAACGTTGTTTACATTTGAATTGTTTTGCTGCTGTCTGCGGTCGTTAATACCCTCCAATCCGCATTGGGCCCGCGTGAAGGGTCATGGTCCGTCATCCTTAATCATCCATAAGGAAGGACTGAGCCCCTGCAGTGGGGACGTCACAGGGCTGATGATACTGCTATCTGAAATCTATACTTGACATCGTTTGGTAAATTTAATCTGCACATAAAACCATTTGAGATATTGGTTGAACCATTAATATTGAATGAAGTTTATCTTTAAAAGAAATTCAATCTAACAGACATTCTGTAAGCGCTGATCTATATTATTTCACTTTTAGCTCAAAAAAAAATTTAAACAATAAAAAATTATAACTTTAGAGCAGAATAATATCCTGATTCGATTTTATAAAAAAATAGCCCGGAACGCGGACTCTCGTAAAGAAAGTAAGGAATTTGTATTTAAAAAATTACACACATCAGTGCATCTGCAGTACAAAAGGACAAATTTCTACAGTTGATTTTGAGCTTAACCATCGAATCCTAAAGCTGAGGCCTAATCTATTGTACAAGCTAGTCTGACCCCTCACTCTTGATGTTACTCTTATTACGTACTATTAGATTTTCTATATTTGCACAGGTAATGTTGCACAGAATCAACTCCTCCGCTCTGTGAGTCTTCCCATTATCTCAAATTTCCAATGTTCTCTCACCTTCGGAGGCTTCATAAGAAACACAAATATTTGCACAAGCGGAGCTGGTGGTATGGGCACATGCCAAGGTGATTCTGGTGGACCTCTCGTCGTAACTAGCGGAAACAGACAGATTTTGGTACGTATTATTTATGATATTTATAATCTAACATGATATCTTTATCTATAACAGTAAAGTATTATCTCTGAATATAACTATAACTATTGTTTGGAACAGAAAGGAGTTTGGACTTACTTTTAGTTTCTTCGATAGCCCAGGGTATTAAGCCGCTGGTCGTAAGTCTCTCACGTTGTTCTTGGATAATTTTGCTCTTGTCCTACTGCCCCTTCACACAGCGTTGATTTTCTAAGTATTTGCTGTATACTCTTTCGCGCTTGAAGATTTGGTTGGAATGCAACCTTGCGGGGTCGACCATTCACTATGGCGCCGGAGATGCAACAGGCAGTTGTCAGTGACTGTCCCTCTACCCTCGATTATTTTATTTTTGTCCAAGTTAGGGAAAGGTAGGTAGGCGGATGGATAAAGTTGTATTACCATCTTCAATACTTCGTTTGTAACGCATTTTGAAACCGAACAACTATCTATATAATTTTAAGAATATTCTATAATCACTTTGAATTTATTTATAGAATCAAAAACTGAATGATCACTTTCTTTGTTTGGTAAAGACCATCAGAGAAAAGTCCATGCAACAAACGGATGTGAGATCTTTTTGTCGCTGCGCCTATCAAGTCATGAACGTTCTATTAGTTTATGCTCGATCAGCGACGCAATTTTTTTTTGCCATAACATGTCTGTGACTAAATAATGCGAGTTTAGATTAGATTTTGTTTTAGACTATTCGGATCTTTTACAGATTCCGTCACATCTACATCGACGTCTTAAATGAAATTTAATATAAATGCGTTACATGCAAGTGACGGTTTTAGTGTGCCACATTTTTAAGTTAGTGCAAAAATATTACGCCACAATCTTAACGTTAAAATTGACCGTGTATAAAAGCCATTACCTACATAAAATATATAATTGATCTTGAATTTGATTTGGTCATGTCTGTCCGTTATGCCCAATAATTGTAGAATGGGTCTGTGTCTGTGATACCCCTTATTGTATGAGCAGAGGGGTCATGCAAAACAGAATCCTTATGGAACGTTTCCTAAGTCTATTTTTAAAATTTTACATATTTCAAATGACGTCACTGAAAAGATATGCCTTTGCTATAAAAATCTAGATACGCAATTTCAGTTTCGTTGATTACAGCTTATAATATTAACCGATATAGAATATTCGAGTCGATAATCGAAGATTGCCTCGGCTCGGTCTGGATTTTTTTTCATTGATTTGTGTATTAATCTGGCGTTATTTTCACAGGTTGGTGTCACATCTTTTGGTGCAGCTGCTGGTTGCACTGTTGGTCTCCCAGCTGCCTATGCGCGAGTTACGTCATTTTTGTCATGGATACACTCTGTCTAAATAAGAACAAGTTTTTATGAAATAAAGATTTTCATTAATCTTTCATCGTATTTCTTTGTACACTTGAGCATTGAAATTGTCCTCAACTATTTACAAAAGTAAGTACCTATTCAAGAATTAGACTCTTTATCTAGCAACTTCATATAGATATAGTATCACAGTTATAAGTATTTCTTTTGTTTAACTTTCCGAGTTAAGTGGGGGATTTGAGTCGTGAAATAGGCTAGTTGACATTTTTTTTATTTTATAAATAGATTGTACATTAATATCTGAGAAACAATGTAGAAGTCTGCGATTAATAGGTTTGGAGATACCATACTATGTTTGTGGAACTGCTGATAGTCGGCCGAATACGCTCCCTACAAATTTAAGGCACTAAGTGACGTCACTACAATGCAACGGTTGCGAAAAACGTGGAGGGGTCGGGGTAATCTTTGCAATACTTTGTTATTTGTGCGTTTATGTTTATAGCTCTTATAATGAAAGTTGTAACGTTTTATATCACCAATTTATTGTCGAATGTATTTTAGCAAATTTTTGTAGTACATTTTCCTTATCTTGTTAAATATTTATAAGCTAAAAGAAGGAAGAATCAAGACTTTAAGGTTTAAACCCTTGAGATATGAATTTTCTAACGTAACAACAGTTACTAGTATATATTTTCTGATACATAGAAGTTTGAACTTTAGGAATCTATAAATATGAAGACAGTTTTTGAGGAAATATGTAGAGACAAAAAATATTTAACATAAAAATCCAAATGAAGCTAATACCGAGGTACGCAACGGCTAATACCGCGATTTCTGATTCTATTACCGAGGGTAGAAAAATCTATCATTCTATTATTTTTCTACCCTCGGTAATAGAATCCAATGGTTCCTTTACATGTTGGTTCCATACAAAATCTTTAATAAAAAACAAATTATTGACTACTCTATATTTTAATCGACAATTTTTAACTCTGATAAAGTTTTTTATCAAAATCACTACATTACGGAATCATTACCTACTACTAGTATTACAATGGTACTTATGCATCACTTTTGATACTCTTTGAAGTCTTAATGTGTAATATCTATTTATTTTTTTCTTAAATTGGTACTTTTAATTCTTAGCTATAAATTGTTAAAGTTAAAACATGTTTTGTTATTTTTTTTCGTACGATCAACATGTTATTTTGGACATATTTGTTTGTAAAAGCAATGAAAAACTACTGTAAATTGCGAGGTACTGTTTTTGAAGATAATGTTAGAATATATTTGATAAAAAAATGTTTCTCTTTAAGTGCGGCCGGCAACAGGTAGATGTACTACTCGCACAAAACGGACTGTTGCTGACTGTACATGTAGATGTTGAGCAAACTGTACCTAAATCATAGATTTATGAAATCCCAGAGCTGTAAAATAGGTACTTGCTGTGCAACATTTTTTCTAACCTATGGAAACATGAAATAAAAGATAAACTTATTTTTGTATTAAAAGCAAGCGGTAGCCTTAAATGTTTGGCAAAATGTGTAACAATCGTACAGTAGTACCACATCAGATAACATTTATTTACAATGGTAGAACGATTGTTACGTAAAAATTAAATCCTGAGTTAGAAAAATAAGTTGGTATAGGTGAAAGTAGGGTTTTGAATTTCACATATGGTACTTATTTGTTTCTAGAAAACCCTAAACTTAATAATAAGTTCTATTATCAGTCGGTATTAGAATTTTATAGTGAAGTTAATACCGAGTAATAACACTCGGTGATAGCTTCGTGAACAAGGTACCTATTGCCGATTGATAGCTTGTTTTCACCATCGATGATATCCGCTTCATCCGTGATAGTGTAAATAATGTAATTCCAAAGGATAAAATTTGATTAACTTTTAACAATACAAAAGTTTAAACGATGACTAATAAAGTTACCTAAACATAAACAAGATTTTTGAATTAAGTACGTGGGTTTAAAATACAGACTGGGTTATGGTTTCATATCGTATTAATGTAGTGCTCTCATACAAAGTTAATTTTTCATGGTTTAATTTAGGACAACAAAATAAGAGTTCTATTTAACAAAATAAGAATAAGAGTTATAGCAACATGATGGGCGTGGATTTCTTGTCGCGTGGAACGATGGCGGAAAGTAGCGGCAGGTATAAGTCCGAACAATTCCTCGGAGCATTCCCCGCAATACATGCGATAGAAGATAACAGTGAAGCAACATCTCTACGCAGGGCCAGTGGATCAAGCCGACTTGAAGTGTCGCGGCAATCGACGATTCGAGTCGCTCTCCGCTGAATGCGGTCTAGGGGGAGAAGCTGGTATTGGGGTGCACCTGCCCAAAGATGAGAACAGTATTCCATATGGGGCCGAACCTGCGCCTTGTAAAGCTGCAGGCGATGCGCCGGAGTGAAATACTGCCTCGATCTATTAAGCACACCAAGCTTCTTAGATGCTAATTTAACTTTATCCTCTAAGTGACCACGGAACTGGACCTCGCTCGATATGTCGACACCGAGAATCTCAATATTGGCTGAGGCAGTTAGAGGAATGTTTTGAAAGCGAGTAGATACGACAAAAGGGGCTTTTTTGGCGGTGAACGCGCAAACCTGTGTCTTAGTAGGGTTGAAGTGGACCAAATAAAGTCGACCCCAGTTAGAGACTTCCTCTAACGAAGATTCACTTTATAGTCAGTTATAAACAGTAGGTCGGAGCATTCACCGTCGACTAAAACCTTAATGCTTCTCTCTGCCAAAAAACTAGTGACCCATGCACATAATTTCTCGGGAAGCCCATACGAGGGAAGTTTTGATAGAAGAGCTTTATGCCACACGCGATCGAAGGTTTTCGCTATGTCCAAACTTACTACCAGGGCCTCGCCCTTTGTTTCAATTGCCTTAGCCCAGTTATGTGTCAAGTAATAGTATTGTTGGTCACTAAGCAACTGGCGATCCTCTAGGTACCGAAGGAGGTGGCGGTTGATAATGGACTTCATTATCTTTGAAAGCAAAGGGGTTATAGCGATCGGCCTGTAGTTGGACGGATTCGAGCGGTCACCTTTTTTTGGGATCGGATGCAACAAAGCAGTCTTCCACGAGGTTGGGACGACGCCAGATGAGTAAGAGAGCCGGAATAGGCGCGTTAAGACCGGTGCCAACTCCGGAGCGCATGTCCTTAGCACAATAGAGGAGATACCATCGGGCCCACTCAACTTGTGGATATCGAGGGAAAGTAGTGCTAGACGCACTGAGCTCTGGTGAAACCGGATATCTGGCATAGAGCTATTGCACCGCGGAATGGTGGGCGGTTTCAGCCCCCCGGTCATCCAAAGTCGAGTTGGATGCAAAGAAGTTACCCAGGAGATCGGCTTTCTCTTTTGCATCATAGGCTAATGAGGAGTTGTCTTTGTGCAAGGGTGGAAATGAAGGCGTGCAGAAATTACCTTGAATAGATTTGGCAAGAGACCAGAAAGCACGCGTCCCCGAAGGAAAACGTTCATACTTCCCGCCAATTCTACTGATGTGCTTCGCTTTCGCTCTTGCAATGTCTCTTTTGAAATGTCTGGAGGCAAAGTTGTATTGCTTTTTCAGAGCGCTGGTATTTTCATCCCGCAGCAATACCGCATTTGCCCAGGCTTGGTATGATTCTCGCTTTCGACGAGAAGCCTTTCTTGAGCGTTAAAATCGCCCAGTATCACGATCTCTGCGAATGGGATCTGCTGCTGCACAGAGTCTGCAGCCATTTGGACGTGCTCAATGAGTCGGTCAGTTTCGGCATCGCCATCATGGGACCTATATAGGCACGAGTAGACGCGGGGGCGGTCTTCGCTGTCTACACGAAGCCATAGGATGGACTGGTCCCTACTTTCAAGGTGACCAAGGCGCCGAGAACAAATATCGTCTCTGACGTACACACATACACAGGCCTTTGGTGTGAAAGTGTGCTCCAGTCCGTACCCAGAGTAGGTCAGGTAAGAAGTGTCCGCCGGAGACGATATCTGCGTCTCGGTCAAAAAGTATAAGGCCGGCTTTGCTGTTTCCAGGTGCTGGTGCTGATGGACAGCATTCAGGTTGGTATGAAGCCCCCTGATGTTGCAGAAGTCCACAGATAGTGAAGAGGGGGGTGCCGTGGTCTTATTCTTTCCCTGGTCATGTATGAGCGCGGTTTTGCCCCCCCCCCCCCCCAGAAAAACAAAAGAGACAATACAATTGACACATGACTATCTGACCGTTTTAATTAGTTTTACGAAAACTATGCAGTCGAGTATATAATTGAATACATTTGAATTCCTATGCAGAAAAAAAATATGGAAAAATTGTAAATTGCTAATATTATGTTATAAATAACAAAAACAATTAAAAACATACAAACTTCAGAATTCTTAGATTTAGGTATTATCAGATTTTATGCTGCAAATTTTGCGTCGCAGAGACATGAGCAGTTTTTAGGCTTTAGCTTAAAACAGTCCATTTTGTATTGATTGATTGGACGTTAGATAGTGGATATCGTTGGTTCAAAATATTTTACGACTTCAACTTAAACAGTTATCGTTGTTTACATTTGAATTGTTTTGCTGCTGTCTGCGGTCGTTAATACCCTCCAATCCGCATTAGGCCCGCGTGAAGGGTCATGGTCCGTCGTCCTTAATCATCAATAAGGAAGGACTGAGCCCCAGAAAAAAAACCAGTAAGTCTGTTACTGTTTTAGTGTGACACACATTCAAACTAGTGCGAAAATATTATGCCACAATCTTAACGTTAAAATTGACCGTGTATAAAAGCCATTACCTAGATATAATATATAATTGATCTTGAATTTGATTTGGTCTTGTTAGTCCGTTAAGCCCAATAATTGTAGAATGGCTCTGTATCTGTGGTACCCTTTATTGTATGAGCAGAATGGTCATGCAAAACAGAATCCTTATGGAAACGATTCCTGTATATTTTTAAAATTTTACATATTTCAAATGACGTCACTGAAAAGATGTGCGCATGCTATAAAAATTTCAGTTTCGTTAATTACAGCTTATAATATTGACCAGTATTGGATATTTGAGTCGATAATCGA